AATGACATGGACAAGGATCGACCAAATCTGGGTAACTAGTAGCATGGCGCCAAAGATAAAAAAAGTAGAAATCTGCCCAAAGACTTGCTCCGACCATAACGCTGTGAAGATGGAGATGAAACTAACAACAACTGGAACTTTCAGATGGAGGATGAATGACGCCCTATTCAGAGATGAGGAGATTTATAAGAAGGCCCAAAAAGCTTTGAAAGACTATTTTGAGATAAATTTGAGAACAGATGTGGAGAAAAGAATAATATGGGACGCAAGCAAGGCCGTGATGCGAGGTTTCCTAATACAACAAAATTCCATAAAGAGGAAAAAGCAGAATGAGAGGAAAGAAAAACTTTTGGAAAAGATAAAAGAAGGTGAAAAGAAATTGAGGTCTAAACCAAAGTCTCATGAGATTTTGAGAGAAATAAAGTATTACCAGACGCAATATATGGAATTGATGAATCAAGAGATAGAATGGAAAATAAAGCAAATGAGACAAAGAACATTTGAATCGGCAGACAAATGTGGGAAACTTCTGTCATGGCAATTGAAAAAGAGACAAAAACTGAACACTGTGACAAGTTTGGAAATGGATGGAAAAATTATCCACAAACCAAATGAGATAAGCAATTGCTTTCAAAGTTTCTTTAGGAAACTATATGCACAAGGGCCAGTTGATGAGCAGGAAATAGAAGAATTTATTAAGAAGTATGGACTACCAAAGATCTCAGATCAAAGTAAAATGATTCTGAATGAGAAAATAACAGGACAAGAAATAGAGGGTGCCATTCAGAATATGCAGTTGGGAAAATCTCCAGGACCAGATGGTTTAACGGCTAGATACTACAAGGCATTGAAGGAATGGATAATACAACCATTGAAGGAGGTCTGTAATGAAATTTTGGAAGGGAAAAAGGCACCTGAATCGTGGAAAGAAGCTTTTATTTCACTTATACCGAAAACAGAGACTGAGAAGAACCAGGTTAAAAACTACCGCCCTATATCATTACTTAATGTGGATTATAAAATCTTTGCAGACATTTTAGCAAAAAGACTGAAGAGAGTGCTGATAGGGGAGATTCACAAGGACCAAACAGGCTTTCTTCCAGGGAGACACATGTTGGACAATGTGAGGAACATCATAGACATTTTGGAATTGTTGGAAGTGAACATTAATAGAAAGGCGGTTTTGATTTTTGTGGATGCGGAGAAAGCCTTTGATAATATTTGTTGGACCTTCATGAAGAAGAATCTCCAAGGGATGGGGGTAGGCCAAGGTTTTGAAAACGGTATAGGTGCTATATATTCTAAGCAAAAGGCAAAGTTGATTGTGAACAATGTGGTTACGGAAGAAATACCTATAGAAAAAGGCACACGACAGGGGTGCCCAATATCCCCTTTACTTTTTATAACAGTCCTGGAGGTCTTGTTAAACATGATTAGAGGGGACCAATTGGTTAAAGGAGTTCAGGTCGGAGCCAGAAATTACAAACTAAGGGCATTCGCAGATGACCTAGTATTGACTTTGCAACAGCCAGATACTAGTACCAAAAGAGTATTAGAACTAATTGAGATATTTGGTCAAGTAGCAGGATTTAAACTGAACAAGCAAAAAACTAAAGTGTTGGAGAAAAATCTAACAATGGCAGAAAAAGAGAAGTTTCAGAGTGAAACAGGTTTAGTAATAACAAAAAAGGTGAAGTATCTGGGTGTGAATCTGACTTCTAAAAATGTGAATTTATTTAAAGACAACTATGACAAATGTTGGACAGAGGTGAAGAAAGATCTAGAAATATGGTCAAGGTTGAGACTTTCCTTGTTAGGCCGAATTGCTGTCATCAAGATGAATGTATTGCCTAGAATGTTGTTTTTATTCCAGACACTCCAGATCCTGGACAAAATGGACTGTTTCAAGAGGTGGCAAAAAGATATATCAAAATTTGTCTGGCAGGGCAAAAAGCCCAGAATAAACTTTAAGATCTTAACTGATGCAAAAGATAGAGGGGGGTTTGCCCTGCCGGACCTGAGACTTTATTATGAATCGGCAGCGTTCTGCTGGCTGAAACAATGGCTGCTTCTTGAGAACACAGACATTTTGGATCTGGAAGGGTATGACAATAGATTTGGTTGGCATGCATATATATGGTATGACAAGGTAAAAATACATAAAGGTTTTAAAAACCATATTGTCAGGAAAGCACTATACAATGTTTGGATAAGATATAAAGATCTACTGGAAAGTAAAACTCCCAGGTGGCTATCACCAATGGAAGCTAAAGAGACAAAAAAACTTAATATGGAGTCCAAATGGCCAAAATATTGTGAAATTTTAGAGCAAGATGGTGAAAGGGTTAAATTACAGAGTTATGACAAATTAAAGTCTAAAGTACGAGATTGGTTGCACTACCTTCAGATAAACGAGGTATTCAAACAGGACAGGAAAATAGGTTTTCAGATGGAGAGGTCGAAATTAGAAACAGAATTGTTAGAACCCAATACTAAGAACTTGTCAAGAATGTATAATTTGCTGCTGAAATGGAATACACAAGATGAAACAGTAAAATCAGCTATGATCAAATGGGCACAAGACATAGGTCATGATATTATGTTTGATGACTGGGAAAGGTTATGGAATATTGGTGTTAGATTTACGGCTTGTAATGCTTTGAGAGAAAACATAATGAAAATGATCTATAGGTGGTATATGACCCCAGTCAAACTTGCAAAAATTTACCATTTGCCCAATAATAAATGTTGGAAATGTAATGAGACTGAAGGTACTTTCTATCACCTTTGGTGGACCTGCCCGAAGATTAAAGCCTACTGGGAAATGATCTATAATGAAATTAAAAAGGTCCTTAAATGGACATTTTCTAAAAAACCAGAGGCTTTTCTTCTGGGCATGGTGGGCCAATTGGTGCTAAGGAAGGACAGAACTTTTTTCATGTATGCTACCACAGCAGCAAGAATTCTTCTGGCAAAGTATTGGAAGACGCAGCAGCTACCCACTCTGGAAGAATGGCAAGCGAAGGTGATCGACTACATGGGAATGGCAGAGATGACCGGCAGAATCCGTGACCAGGGGAGTGAGACAGTGGAAGAAGATTGGAAGAAATTTAAAATATACCTTAAAAATTGTTGTAACATTGAGGAGTGCTGAGATGCTATGGTGTTAAGAAACAGAGAATTGCAGCTGTAAATCATAAATTTAAGGGAATTATAATGAAGATGAGTTAATTAATTAAATGGAGGGTTGCTGTCAAAAGGGAAAAATAAGGATGCAGAAAAAGGGAGGTATGGGGAAGTCCGGGAAATAAGGTGAAGGAAAATGAGTTTATGAAATTATACATGTTTATTTGTTTGTATGTTTTGTTTTGTTTTATTGTTTGTTTTTATTACATGATTGGAAAATTAATAAAAATTATTTTTTTTTTAAAAAAAGAACAGTTTCAGGTTAAGAACAGACCTCCGGAACGAATTAAGTACTTAACCCAAGGTACCACTGTACTGAGTGTGGATGCGGGTAGCGCTGTGGTCTAAACCACAGAGCCTAGGGCTTGCTGATCGGAGGGTCAGCGGTTCGAATCCCAGAACAAATTAAGTTCTTAACCCGAGGTACCACTGTATTCTGGTATGGAACGGATGTACTAGTGGGGTTTTAAATAAAATAAAATAAAATAAAACCTTGCCTACTGAATGCCTTGCTAATCTGTGAGCTAGATCAGGGCAGGGAAAGGGATGTTGCTGGCCTATAATCATCTCAATTATTGGCCATATTAGCTTGGGATGATGGGATGTGGAGTCCAACAACATCTGGAGGGTGAAAGGTCACCCCCTGCATTAAATAGTAAATCAACCAAAATAGAAAGGCTGCTACTTGCAGCCAACATCCGTTTGACATAGGAATGGTGATATGATAAATAAATAAAAGGTGAAAGGAACATTTCATGGTACACTTAAAATATGCTTCCTTTACGAGTAATAAAGGGAGTTGTATTAAAGGGAAATTACTCACTTCAAGAAATGTGCAAGTAAACAAAGGCACAAGCTAATACAGGAACACCTGAATATCATCAACACAGTGTAAGTTCAAACAATGAGATTTAATATTCTTCGTTGCCAAGAATGCCAATAAACCAACATAACACCCAGATGCCGCATGCCCAAATAAAACCGTGATCAGTATAAGCAAAATCAAGAATGTCTCCTTCAGTGCCTTTACAGCACACAGGTCTGTTTACTCAGAAGTCAGTCACATTGTGTTCAAAGAACCTAACTCTTGAATAAGGACTTCTAAGACTGCAGCTCGGGTCTCTACAGTGTCAGCCGGATCTATGTCTTCTCAGAAGTAAGCCCAAGTTAAAGTGCAGTCCTGCTCCCTGTAAAAGAGTGTTTGGAGTTGCAACTGAAGTGGTGCAATACATTACACATAAAACAAAGCCTCATAGCTCCACAAGAGCTTCCCAGTTCATTCTGGAGAAGTGGGGAAGGGAATTGAATCTTGCTCCCTAGGGTCGATTGCTCTGCTCTCCCACTCTGAACCAGGTCTCTTTTTAGCATTTCAACACATTTTAGTGTCCAGGGATGGTTGGCCAGCACACTACATTGACAAATGTCCCATCTAGTTTGGCTCCAGATAAGCACTCTGCTATAAGGAAGTAATACTCTCACTCAAGCATCAGAAAAAAGTAGCCGGGACAACCCTGCACAGCAAGCAGCATCAGCCTTCCTTTTAATGCTAGTTGGTAAGTGCTAGTAGAAGGGGAAATTAAAGCAAAACCACAATTAATGGATTTGTTTCTACTACAAGAAAGATAGGAATGTGCTAAAATGCAAGAAGGGAAACTACAAAGGCTATGGAATGGTATGTGTAAAAAAGAATTGTGCATATATATTTTTTAAAAAGTTTTTAATCATTGTCTTTATGGATTCTTAGGCAGGTGATGTGGTGGGGAATCATTATGTAAGGAAAGCTCAGAGAATGAAAATAAACAGGATATCGTATATAGAAGAGCCTTTAAAATGAATTTTATTGTCAGATTATTATTTTTTACAAGTAGCCTTTTAGAGGCTTCATACAAGAACTCTGTTGCAAAACTCTAATAAATAGTCTGCCCCAAGTCCCACTGTTTAAAATAAAATAAAAACTAAAGAGAGGAAAAAATAAGTCAGGATGCTGAGAGATGTTAGCAATATTTCCCATTTACAAATTACTTCAGGCATTATATAGATCTCCTTCATACAAATTATTGAAGATGAAAAACAACAACACCCTAAGACATTCTATCTTTCTGCGAAAGCACTCCAGAAATACTCTCAAACCAATCCTCTCGCATAGCCAAATGTTATCAGGGGGTAAAAGCACCCCGAGGGGATTTTCATCGAATGAAGCTGTAGGTCAGAACGAACCATGTGGGTTTGTACAGTTAATTAAGAGTTATGAAAATGCATATCAAAGAAGGCCAGGAAGACTCAATGGAAGGTAAAGAACATTTCCAGTGATGAATGAGGCCTAGAACACAGGGAAGGAGAGGAAGGTTGGTGAAATGGGCAGGCATGGGCTGCTGCTGTTAGGTGCAACAGTGCGTAGGAAAGAGTATCACGGCTACATGCAGAGAAGGTCACAAATGAGATTTACCACATGCCACTTGAAACAAAGCTTAGGCAGGCTGCAGGGCACACCGGTTTCTTCCCCCAATGCTAAGACTTCATTCCTTGCCGATGCAACGTTTTATGGCAGTTCTAATGGAAAAGTCACGTGCCAAAGATTCAAGAGTAAGGATTCTTCCTTCTCCCGATTCTAAAAATCAAGGGAAGACTTCGATCATGTTAATAAAGGAGCCCTCCCATTGTCCTTTCACTTAGGGCAATGATGACAAAGTTATTAAAAATTTACTTCTATGACAGACGCCTGCTGCATGGAGCGCAACTTGCAACGGTTGCTTCACAGCTTCGCCTTATTTTGGATATGTACGAGTGCTAAGAAATAACACATGGGCAGCGACACTGGCGTGTCCTATTAAAGTCTCAATATGCAAGCTATTAAAATGAAAATCCATTGAGGTCAACAGCATTCAGGCACACATGGCGCTGTGTGCAGTCTTAACAGTACAGCACGTTATCTGTCAAAAGGCCACCAATGGAAACTGGGGGTCGGTATTGTCTCGTTCTCCAAGGCAAACTTCAGGGGTGCTGCATAAGGGTGCTAAGTGTCACACTGCTAGGGTGGGGCACGGAGAAAGAGCTTTGGCTCATTTCGTTTCTCGGGAGTGGGCCCTGTCAAGGCCCACAGAACACTGCTTCCTGGCCCTTTCCCTCCTTGCTGTTGCTGACTTTTTGCAAGCAAAAGACAAAAACGAGGAAGCAGGGTAGCATCCTCTACTTCCCTCTAGGCAGTTGTGCAGATTGGGCCCGGAGGGAGAGAGAAAGGCATTGAGTGGAGAAGAGGAGGAGACCCACGGATGAAGAGTGTCTGGCCCAAAGAGCTCCCCAAACCTAGAATCCACCCTGGACATAATTACACAATCTCCAGATCAACAGGAGTGGGCTATCTCTATTAAAGAAATGTAAAATATGCAATGCTATCAGGAAGGGATTGGTGAGAGAAAGGTCCCTAGGTAGGAAGACACAGAGGGCAGTTCTTACAAAAGGAGTGAGTATTCTCTTCACTCAAGGAGCCTGAGAAAGGATATCTGTTCCGCATATCAAATTTGTACTGCCTTTCTGTCCCTTAGGTAGCTGGAAGCCCATGCACTTCCGCTGGAAAACAAAGGCGCAACAACCACCGATTCAAAGAGATGTGCAGAAATGGAATTGGGTAACTTGCCATAGCCATGGCTCAAGTCTCCACTGGCTACACTGTACACACTTGTACACGTGCACACTCTAGGGGAAATGGCTCTATACAAGGTAGGTGGAGATAGCACTAAGGATGGTCAAGCACAAATCATTAAGGTGACACCCAAAACATAGCTCACATCCTCTGGCTTGTGGAATACGTCAGAAACAATAGAAAGGAAGCAGCAAAACAAACATCTTCCTAGTTTTCTAGAAGTTGTAATATTTGCCAAAGCAGCAAGAATAAAGCAGATTAATCTGAAACTGATACAAAGGAGTGAATAGAAATAAATAGAGGCAGATGGACAAGTTATTCTGGTCCACTCTCCCATGTCATTTTGTACAGGACAGGTAAGGAGAATGTGCAAAAAAATAAAGACATTCACATTTTAGCAGTTAAACTTTTATTTTCTTTAAAATTACTTTTTTTGTTGCTTTTATTTTTTTCCTACAAAAGGCAGACAATGATTGTTGATCTGCAATAGTTCTGGGTGCTTGCAGAGATGCAAAAAAAGGGTAATCAGAGTATGAAAGATGTAAAAGTGCTCTGACTGGACTTTCAAAGGTCATGATTAGTGTGGTATTAAAGCAAAGTCCCACTACAGAGGTGATTTCACTTTTTTTGCCAATGTGTCTGCTTCAACGTGTGCTGTTCTTAGCTCATATCAATTGTGTTGAAAACCCATTCCGTGAATTTCTTCAGTTTCTCAGAGGCGTTCTGGGATTCCTCTTGTAACCGTAAATTGTCTTCCCGCAAATGCTGGACTTCGGCCTGAAGATTGGCTTTGTCTTCTTTTTCCTGAGAAGAATGAGCAAAAGACAAAAGATCTCAGATGGCAGATTCTATGTGGCAAGCCTTATAGTGATCACCAGGGCAGACCTTCATCAAAAAGGTGTTCTCTCCAACCTCCCCAGGCTTCCTGCCTTCTAATTTACTACTACTACTACTACTACTACTTATTTTATTATTTCTACTCTGCCCAGCCACTCTGGGCAGCTTCCAGCAAAATATAAAAACAGAACAAAACATCAAACATTAAAGACTTCCTGATACAGCATTTTGAGATGTGGCATGCCAGGTTTTCTGGTATTTGCGATGACATTCCTTTCCCTCTACCTAGATGCTTGTGCCATCAATTCTGCTGAGTTTTCCCTTATAAATCCAAGGCTTCCTCTCTCTGCCAAATAGGAAATGGACCACTGGTCGATGCAAAGCATGATCTCCTCTTCATCCGCCATCAGTAGGACTCAATGTTATTCCGTGTTTCAAACAAGATATGACACCAAACCACACACTTCAAATTATCACTATATTATTCTATTAATACAATTATTCTTAACTGCCACAGGTCTCTCCATTCTCATTAGAATTACAGTATGTGGGCTTAAATCTATCTTTTCCTGCCATGCTCTCAATGAAAACCACCACTGTCACCTCTGGTTTGGTGGCTATTAGTTACAGGAGGTAAGCTCCCACAGACACTTGTCTTCTGAGACTAACTGCTGCTGTGGAAGGCAGATTTTATTTGGAGTGTTGTGGTGGGGGAATAAAGGGTCAAGTTCTCTTTCTGCACTCCTGACAAACCCCCCCCCCAGCAGCTATGCATAACAAAAAGCACCAGTGGCACTTCAAGTAAAGGGTTTTGCACTTGGTTTGGCTGTAAGAAAGTACACCTTCTGATTTCATCTCCTATCTATGTTTCCATTCCAGGGCTTCTTAAAAACTCTGTTTTGAAATACAGCACGAGATCAGGGCTCATAGAGCTGTTAGCATGTCTAGCATTTAAACAGAAATAACTCAGAAGTTCTTTAAGTCAAAATATTTACCTTCTTTAAATCCTCCTGCAACATTCTCAGCATACTTTCCAGCTGGTTCACTTTAGAAGCAAGAGAAGGAGGAGATTCTTTACTGCAGGAAGGAGGAGACAGACACAGAGTTGTTTACTTTCTCTGTGGCCTTATGCCAGGGCCACCCCCCCCCCAATGCTTTGGACTCCAACTCACATCAGCTCCAGTGGCTAATGGTGAGATGATGGGAGTTGGATTCCAATAATGTCTGAAGGGCACAAGTCCCCCATTCTCTGTCTTATGCAGACAGAACCAGTGGTTTGTTTTCCTTAATCACAAATCAGTGTTACATCTGCATATATAACCCCTGGTAAGTAAAGGATGTTAATCAGTAAGAACATAAGGTCCCCTGTTGAAACAGATCAAGTGTCAATCGAATTCAATTCCAATTCCAGCCAATCAGGCACTTCTTGGAAGCCGTGGAGCAGGGCATCCTCTGCAGGTGTTTGTCTTCAGGAGCTGGTTTCCATAGGAATATCAACCCACCCATTCCCTACCCCTGCCCCAAGAAAAGCATATGCCCCCTTCTTTTTGCATGGTTCTGACCAGGAAGGATCCATTCAGATACCAAGCACTACATTTCTCCTCCTTTAAAAGACATCTAAGCTAGCTGACATCACCACATTCTGCAGCATGAATTTGCCAGGTTAATTATGCACTGTGTGGAACAGTTATTTCCTTTGCTCTGAACCTACTGCATCCTGTTAACCAGTTTAAGGCACCAAATCAAGGTTAGTGCTAACCAGGGTCCACCTGTTATAATATAATAATGCTAATAATAATAATAATAATTTATTATTTATACTCTGCCCATGTGGCTGGGTTTATATCTGTGGGAAGCCTTAACAACACGTTTCGGAACAGCTGTATAGACTTTTGGGTTGGTTTGGCATCCTATGACAGCAACTGCGTGTTTCTAATACCCCTTCTGGAAAGACTAATCTAAAAACATAGGAAGACTCTCTCAAAGGTGGACCTGTTCTAGAGTTTTAAAGCAATGTGTGCTACTTGCCATAGCTATTGTAAGATAATACTACACATGTCGTCTTCTCCATCAACCAGACAATGATTATTTGAAATGCTGATGAGCAGATCCCTCTCTATCAGGGATGGGGAACCTGTGGCCCTCCAGATGTTGATGGACTGCCTACGCACAACACCCATGATCCTTGGTCCTTGGCTATGCTGGCTGGGGCTGATGAAAGCTGGAGTCAAAGAACATCTGGATGGTCACAGATTCCTCACTCCTTCCCTAGAATAAACTGCCAAGCATCATTTAACATTTTACATACCCAGTGTAAGGCTTCATCTGAGCAGGAAGCTGATCTTCGGTTTGATCACTGTTGGAAGCAACACTGACAGGTCTGTGGTTTTCATCACTAGTGGCAAAAAATGAGGCTCGCTGGACTGGAGAGAGAGACACACACAAACAAACAAACAAACACATGCCACAAAATAATTATTTTTTTCTTTTGCAGCAGAAGAAAGCAGTCTTCTTTCACATGAAAACAAAACAGGAAGACAAGGAAAAGAATGTCCTGTAACAAAGTCAAGAACTGGAATCCTCTTCTGAGACTGTTTCCATTTCAGATAATCATTACAGAAATGACTTTATGAAGTGGTGTCTGATTTTGTTTTCCTCTTTCCTCCTCATTTTTTTCTTTTTATGTCATGTATTCTAGACTGCAAGCCTCCTTGCAGGAACAATCCTGTTTTAATTGATCATGTATAAGGTGCTCTGGGAGCCTTTTCTGCTGAAAATGCTAGTTATATCACTAAATGGTCCACATTCCTTTTTTAAAAGTCTTTCTGGCCCTGTGGCAAAAGGCTGCACATTTAAGCCTTGATATTTGCAAATCAAAATAAGGATGAACTGAAAACACTGACTGACAGCAAAGCACCTATTGCATTTCAGGTACAATAATAAAACGGGAAGCACACCAAAAATGCAAAAAGAAACTGCACTGGAATAGTGTTAAGTGACGTAAGAGTGTCATTGCAACTGAAGAGGAAATGTGGGTTTCAGAGCTGGAAAACCTATGCAAGACATGGCAAATTAAAACAAATTTGTAAAGAGGGTGTAAGAGCTTTTGAAGCAGTAACCTGCCAAGACCTACCCTCAAAGGCTTTGGCAGCATCTACCAAGTTTGACCAGTCTAGGTCAGAAGCAGAATCGGGCAGAGGCATGAGACCAGGATCTGGCATGGGCTGCCTTCTCTGATCCTGGATATCTGTGAGGGAGCTGTCAGAGGCAGAGAACTCTCCTGAAGCAACAAAGAACATAGGCAAACACACAATTAAAAGCAGAAATCAGGAAAAGCTAACAACACTGAAATTCAGCTGAGAGAATATGCTAAAGAAACAATTTTCTTCTTGAATTTCCACAGCTTCAGATCCACATGGAGGTTATTCAAAAGTGAAAAGGAAGGTAACTGAGCATTATAGGCCAGATTAAACTAATAGGTCCAGCCACTGAGAATGCCATTCTTTGTGCCATTGCTGCTCTGACTTGGCATATCGGTGGTATGGTGAAAAAGGAACATACCACTGATTTTAAAGATTGTTATTGGTCTGAAGAGTTCCTACGATATGTCTAACATAGGTCTAAGTTTCTAAGATAAAGCCACATAGAGCTTTATAGGCCAAAACAATCACCTTAAATTATGCTCCAGAGCCAATAAAGAGCCAAGCGGATGCTGGAGGCACTGGCATAAAAAGCCATTAATGACCACCCTCTTCAAAGGCAGGTCTTATATTCTGTATCAGTTGTAGCTTTTGAACCATCAAGGGCAGCACCAAGCAGAATACACTGCAATATTCACGTTTCAAGCTTACATAAGGCAGGAACATACCTTTGAACCCATCTCTAAGCACAAAAGCATGGTTGGTATGAAAGAGGCTTGCTTATTCTGAGTTCTCAGGACAGAGCAGGCTGCCGGCTGAATCAAGGCACGGCACTTTCACAATAATACTGAAGTTGGAAGCATACTCACCGTGTAAGGATTTCATTCCTAACGTGTACGACGGCCTTCTTAATGGTAATGACTTGGGAAGAGAAGGATATGTGCTGGTGAAAAGGACATCATTTGGCAGGGCTTGGTCTAGAAGAGAAGCTCGTGAGGGGAAGAAGTGTTCCCTTTGACTGCTGTAAATACTCTCATCTGACAGGGTCCTCTGCAACGCACGCCTTGAGGTAGGAGTGCTGGGGAACGGAGACTGGAAGAAGAGACAGGAGCGATAACTGCCAGTAGTACATGTCAAAAGCGCATGGTGTTTTTTAATTTGTTGGAAGCCACCCAGAGTGGCTTGGATAACCTAGTCAGATGGGCAGCATATTAATGACAACAACATGTAATAATAAGGTGATTTTAGAATTTCCTTTAAAAGTGAGAACCAGTTCCAGTATAAGATTTCGTCCCTTTCAGGTCTTTCAGAATGGGTGCACAGAAAATTGTAGTTAACCTGTACTGATTCAAAGGTTACACGTGTCTGCATCCCAAAGGCATTTATACCCACAGCTACAACGTGGGAAAACATATCTGGATGTACACTGGACTAATTTTAAGTAAGCATGTCCCGAAAAGGACTAAAGGCCTATCCTGAATTGTAAAATCAATATTCTTAGTGATATTCTCCTGTCTGTGCTAATAACATGATAACCTGCTCTCACGTAACAAAAAGCGATCAGGCATGTTTGGTTGGCTGCTTGACATTTTCTGAACTTCAGGGAGATACATGTTCTAGTGCTGCATCCATCCTCCAAAGAATTAAATACATTTTAGAAAGCACAACGTTCATTATGACCGATATGTGTGTTGGAGGGTAAGCCTGTCTGTCTGCTAGTCCCTTTTTAAAGGGGTCACTGAACATTCCTGCACTTGAGTGCTCACACAACCATGTTCCACCAAACAGTGTTTGTTGGGTGCTGAGAGCAGCAGGGTTGGAGAGGCTGATTTTCTCAACAATGAAATATTATGGCCAGAGTGCTAGGTAAACATCTCCAAGAAACAGAAATCATTAACCCGTGAAAGTTGCTTGGTGGATCCACTACAATAAGTGAGTAGCATCTGTGCCTTTACTGCACAAAAAAACATCATCTAGAAGGCCCCTCAGACGGAAAAGGCAATTCTCATTTCTTCTACTTCCTGCATTTTCTATTTTATTATACAATAAACTTTCAAAACAGTGCTGAAGAGAATCTATCAATTCAGCAATATTCCTCCTACACAGGGAAGATGTGGAAGGAATGGCTCTTACATCTGCATGGTAAACAATGCTAAAAGCAGAGGTCTCTCTTAGCCCCTTATCTCCCCAATCTCCCAAGTCCCAAATCTCTCAATCATCATCACTGATTGGCTGCAAGCGCTGCATAGTGAAGTTGTAGCAGGAATTATTGGGTGGCATGTAGACACCAGAAGGGTGGGATAGTAGTGTGCCAAACTAGAATTAGCCTCCAAATCAGAAGCTTATTAATTATTTCTCCTGTAGGAAATTTTTTGAAGCCTTACGTTCTGTATTTTTGTATGTACAAAAGTTATCCAAGAGTTGTTGTGGATAAAAGCCATAGTGTAGGGCAAACTTCTTCTTTTGTCTGAGAGCTGCGTGCCACCAACACTTTCTTACTTCCACACCCAGGACAGATAAACACAGCTCCCTTCCTCAGTTGCTGGGGGGGTTATTGCCACCTCTCCATTCATTAAGATTAATCTGATGAATAGGGAGGGGTCAATTTGCATGCCCTTCAGGGCTTCACAGAGAGGTTTAAAGTTCTCTACCTACTCCAATGCTGTGACTGCATACTTTTCTCATTTCCTTCTACTGCTGCCAAAATTGCTGGGGCCATTGGGGTGGGGGTGGGGGACACAAAATTTGTTGGGAGGGCTGTACCTGGTCCCCAGGGCAGACATAAACATCCCTGAAGTGAGTTGCTCCAGTAAGGCTTGTTTATGAGAAGAGAGGAGGAGAAAATAAAATAAAAGAGAGGAGACCTCAAACATAGGAAGATGCTTTATACAGAATCAAGAACATTGGTCAATCTAGCTTGGTATGGTCTTCAATGGCTGGCAGGGGGTCTCCAGGGTTTCAGGCAAGGGTCTCAAGGCAGCTACTCTACCACTGTACCAATGCATATGAGTATATTTAGCGAGAGAAAGAGCAAGCCCACTCTGCTACTGCATGTCTTCTGCCAAAAGTTCTATAGTTTTTCAGGCATGGTGGTAACTCAGAAGCTTGGCAGACAAACAACTTATCAAAGAGGTGAAACTCTTTCTGGACCAGACCTCACTTTACACTGCAGATGCTGAACGATATGACCACTGCGTACTTGGATTTTAAAAAATCCCCACCTAATGAAATGTGCCTGAGACAAATGTGGGGGTTGTGAAAAGTGCTCCCCTTAGCAATTTTAGGATGCGGCGGAGTGGGTGTTGCAGCACAAGTTCTTCTCTTGGACTGGAATCACTTTGCCAAAAGAAGAGGAGTCACACTGCAGGGACTCAGCAGCACGGCCCCTCCCCTTCTTCTGACAGCAGGAAAGTGAAGGAAATTATATAAAAGAGCGGCTAAGAAAGAAAGAAGCGTCCCCTCAGAAAACAGCTAATCTTGAACAAAGAGAATGTAAGTGCTCGTAATGAACTCTTTCAAGGAGTTAGGGAAGAGCTATCTTAATGCCCTTGTCTACTAAGAGGATGTTTTAAATAAAGAGAATAGGCAGTAATAGTAACACTGGTATCAGGATTCATGAATTTTGGCAGGTTATTTGTTTAAACTAGTGACTACCGTCTAAATGAGGAAAATAATTTGAGAGAGAGCAGACTCCATTGATCATGAGGAGTTCCACAAGAGACATGTACTAACAGCTACTAGGACAATCAATCATTTAAATGATTAGCAATTTTGCGGAAAGAGAACAGTCCTTGTCTGACGAGTCATGAGAAAGTTGTTCATCTTTCCCCTCAAAATGCCAGTAGGCAGTTGGGCGGGGGGAATACTTGCCTGTGGCAATTTGCCTTTGCTCCAGCCTCAAAGACAACACTGAAAAATAATCTGTATATGGAACCTCATACTTACAAGTTTTAATAAGCCTCTTTGGGTTTTGACAAGCAAAGAAAGAAGTTGCGAGTGCCCTCTTTTGCATGGTTGCTGTGGAAACCATTTAGTCTCTGACAAGCTTGAAATGTTAAGCAGTGGCTTTCAGCGCAGAGACCTTAGAAATCAAGGCTCTTTCTTCAAGATTATTCACTGGATGTTTAAAGATGGTTAAGTCATTAGTACTTCTGGTGAAACCTTAAGGAATTGTTCTGGGTGGATTTATTTCAAGTGTTTTAAAGTTTGGGAAGCAATTTTGGCCCTGACGAAATGAGGCATGGGTTCAGTAGAAAAGTTCTGCTCACTCCAAGCATGCCATTACTCAAGAGCTCTGATCAGAAAAGTGGAAGAGCCACTCAACTGAGCGAAGGCGGCCTTTGGAAGAAAACATTCCATTAGCACTAGTAGCTTTTCAGCAAGTGATACCTCCTTCTGATAAAAGGCTGCATGCAGAACTATGAGGTGCAATTGTGGCACCTGCTAATGCAGTACATTGAAACCTTCCCTAACTAAAACTCCCCAAGAACCAAAGGAGGCCAGTGGCAATGTTGTAATTCATGAAGAAAATTCACACCCTGTCAGAAGCTCTGTACCATTCATCTGACCACAGATCAGGCTGTAAAAGGTTTCCATGAGATGCTGTTAAGATGCTGTAATGTGAGATACCACGAAAGCTCTTTAAAACAGAAAGCATTCATCTCCTTCCCTACTCTGTCTGGTGTTGAACCACAGTAGCATTTCCTAATCTAGCAGATATTCAGAAACTTTCAGATTTAGTGTTTTACTCGGCCTTGCACTTTTCAGAAATATGCAAATAAACATAAAGCCATTGAAGAAAAATATCCAGCAGTTCACATAAATCCATTCTCTAGAAATACAGCGGGTCTTGAAAGGGTTGCCGAAAAAGGCAACTCCATTAAGGCCAAATGAGAATAAACTTGGTGGGCTTCTCTGGAGATTTTGTTTCACAAAACACAAAAGATGCCCTATTCTTTGTGGCCCAACCCAACCCTGAGGAGTGCAAAAGAAGACACACCTTAGAAAAATCTCTAGGCACATAGGAATGCAGTTGGGAGAAAGTGGTTCTTAAGATACGCTACTACCATGCCATGTAAGATCAGGACTAGACCTTTGAACCGAGTCTGAGAAAGCAATCAGAAGCCCTTCAAGAAAATTAAGGGAATCTCTGTGGCCAAATCAAGTTAACATCCTGGCCATTACACTCAGAACCCACTGATCAATTATTTACAGGAAATGCAAGTTAATGTATGGGAAAGGTAACTGACAGTTGTAGCTTTTATTGCGCACCGACTCCCACAGTTGTTTATACTTAATCATAAAAAAGAGATAAGCTCAGCAGTCATGGGACTGCGGAAAACCTGCTCTTTCACACCAACTGCAGCAGCTGCTGGCTGGCCTTGACATCCTCTTCTCAGCAGGAAGTCGATGATACCATTCTGTAACACCTACCTTAAAGTTTTTCTGAGACTCTGGTGTCGGGCTGTCTAGATCTATTAGCTTCTTCAGCTCTTCCTCGATATTTGACTTAGATGCTCGCTTTGGTGAGGCACGAAGATCTCTGGCTGATGCGCGCAACCGAGGATGTGCCATTTCATTGCCATCGCTTTGGTGACGCCTTTAAAGGAAGGAAGATAAACACTTAGGAATCCAAGCCCTTGGGGCCAGACCTTTGCAGCACCCTCCCGTTATTCAGAGAAAATGTTTGCATAGAAGGTGGGCACTTGGATGGGGAGAGGGACTGAGAAAAGTTGTATAGGAATGCCTGTTTAAAGGAATAAACCTGTTAGGTACATTGGCATTTCCATATCTCTATAAGAAGCTCATCCTAATAGCAGAAAGGCTGACCGCATTGCCACCGTATAACCACAGTTAAGGCAACTGACACCAGACTATCACCTTCCTGGCTAATGTGAAGCCGTATGATTATCAAAGAGATGTCAAAGAGGCTTTGCTGCTATCATTCCCTTTGCTTTGGTTTTGCTTAGTACCATTTCAGCATCCCAACCACATGCCTTCTTGAGAACAGCTTAACACTACTACCTGTATTCAAGCCCTTTTTAGTCAATCTGTAACCTAGTCTGCCCCCTCTGTAATGCTTTACGACTTGGAATGTGATTAACCTTTGACCTTACTTTCATTTTACCCATGATGGCACTCTGCTGCATGAGCCCTCATCCTGACTCTTCAATTATGATCTCAGTTCTCGACATAGCGCCAGTTCTTGGCATAAAAGAGCGGCTCTTTTTCCACAATAGCTAAAAACCTAATTGGCAAATCCTTTTGAAATAGTACAAAAGGAAAATACCCTATTCAGATCATCTTTGAAAGCCCATATTTGCAAAACCCTGTTGTTGCAGTCTCCCCACTGGCCCCCAGTATTCCCACTGGCACTCAGTTGAAGGGTTATTGGCATTATTTGCAGGGGGGTGGGGAGTTTCTTTTTCACCAGTAAGAGTTGTCCACAAATCCACTCACCAGCTCTGATGAGTAGGATGGCCAGCAGGACACAGATTCTCCTGGTGCTTTATGTTGTGGTTTGGAGAAAATTAGGAATAACAGGCTCCCTCCCACTCTTTCTTACCTTTCCCATATCCTAGCACACATGAGATAAGACTCAACTCTAATTTAAGCTCTCTGCATAGAGAGATGAATGGTGGTAACCATACAAAATGGCTGATACACACCAAGGCAATATTGGGGGGATTGCTGATTAACTATGACTTGAAACACTTTGTGCTGCAGTTCAGTTTCTATTACCAAAGCCACTTTTTCTAAACACTTTTTCTAAAGCTCCTCCTCTCAATACATTTAAAAACTGCAGTTGGAGGATCCTAAACACTACTGGAGAATTTCTGGTATTTTTCAGTTCGATTAAAACATCCTGCCATAGGATTAAATGTGCAATTGAAGAGATAGAACAAGAGTTTTAAAATTCATTAAATTAAACCATTTTACTTCAGTTATTTGAACACTCTAATAATCTCCACAGAATTCTTAGATGAGTTTAAGAGCTTAAATCACTGTACTACCCCTTAAAAGAGTTTCCCCCCATAATATATTATTATTATTATTATTACTATACATTTTAGAGGCCTCTTCATGTTGAAAATTAGCACCCACCAGAACAGAACAAAAAATGCTCTTACTTTCTGGAATCCATAAACCCCACAGAGTTTATTGTCCCCTCAGGTTTCTTCCATCCAATCAAGTACTTGCTAGTAGCACCCTGGCGTGGGTAGAAAGTCCTAGGACCAGAGGAGGAGGAAGAAGAGGAGAAAGAAGGCGCAAGCTGTGGTGAAGTGGCAGAATGAAGCTCTTCTTTAGGTGAACTTCTGGCACTGGTGAAAACAACGGGACTGGCAGAGTGTCGGGAACTCATGGTACTGGGGGAGAAGCATAACAAAGACAAAGCTTAAGTGTACATGCCGACATCACGTGCAATTAATTTCAAAGCTGCATTTTGTCATGCTGGGCAGATACCTTTGCTGCCTTAAAAAAAACAAAAACACCACAGCTGGAAAACAAATCATTCACCCTGTTAAATTAGAGGCAGAGAAAGATTAACTACACAACTTAGTTACCTAGCAGGAGACCCACCCATCCCTAATCCATCCCTTGCATCAAACTTAATAAGAGAGAGAAATGACTCTGCAGACTAACTAGTTTTCTCTCATCGTGTTTGTTCCTGTGGCAAAACTGTGATGTGGGGTGGACTTGGTGTGTCTTTATGTGCAAGACTGGTACAGCACGCTAGGACACTCTCATGTTATTCAGCCTCCATTTGGATTTAAGAATCCAGACATAAACCCACTGTGTGGTAACATATTCCCATATGGAGGGGACGTAAGAGAGGACTTCCCTGAGCAAAAACTATGATGTGAGAAACTGCTCTAAGAAATTACTCATTCTGATTTATTCGGCTGTTATCTTAGATTCCCAGTTTTCCACCGACTGATTTGCTTTGTTGCTCTGAGGTCACGCCAGGTCTAAAAGATTTTGCTGAATGTAGCTGCCCAGCTTCTTCTGTGACTCTCAAGAAACAGCATGTTCTTCCAAACAGAAATGCACTCCAATACTGCCTATTCAAACACTGGGAATGGTAAGGGAGCGAACAGCTCTTCTGCACCATTACATCATGCCAAGGTTGTGTTGGGAAGGCAGGTCTTTGCAGTGCACTAACCAGTTTACAGAGAAGCTGTCTGGTGGTTTCACATCTTTCCACAGCTCCAAACGGGCAAGTGCTCTTTCCCATTATACACATTGCTTCCTGGGCTGTCCTTCACTTAAACATTGGTCCTATTAATATTTACAGAACAATCCTATAGATGTCTACTCAGAAGCAAGCCCCAATGAGTTCAATGACACATGCTTCCAGATTTTAAATAGGATTGCAGCCTTATTATTATTATTATTTACATCGTCCTGTTTAACTACTCGAGAATGCTAGGATTACACAGCAATGATAAATGACCCTGCCTACTATATAGCAAAACTAAATAAACTTGAGAAGCCAGCATATATTACAAATGCTTGCAACAAATGTTGTTTCCTATTTATTCCCTAGAAAAAGCAGATAAGATGATGGAAAAGATAAATGGCCTGAAGAAACCATCATTTCAAATGCTGAGTGCTTGTGCCGAGTGTTGGTGACATAAATTCAGCAACACCGTCAGTGTTTAAGCCTGTGTTTTAAATGTACATTAAGGCCATCTAAACATCTAAAATTCAAGATGGGGGGCGGGGGAAGAAGAGATCTTATCAGAGGTGAATCACTGTTTTACAAAATGGATGGTTGTCTAATGCTATAGATGCTAGTTCTAAGTTTTCAGAAATTGAAGAAAAGATTCAGACAGATCGCCATGTGATGAATCTATTTTTCTCAACATGCAGTTGAAGAGGGTGAAGTCATCAGACTGACAAATCCCCACAAAAAGGGCTAGGTTGAAAAGGCAACGAACACTGCACCAGTCTGCAAGTCAGCTTCTTAAGATAATAAAATTAAGAGGACAAGTATATATGAGTAGATATTAATTTATAGATATAAATAGATATAGAAATTTCTACATTAAGAAGCACTCTGTTTGAATGGCAGCAATCTTAATATCCATAGAGAAATGACAAGATAATTGGTGTGTTGAGGAATGCTAATCCTGTTTGAAAAAAGTTGGTATGTTGAAGGAAAGGCTATTTACATTATTAGGTGATGCATCTATCCTTGTCATAGCTAGCTTTCTAACAGAACAATCAAACCAAAGTGGAACCTCCTCTCACCTCTACAAGTATTATTCATTTTGTCCAGATAAAGTCATGGACATCCATGGGAATATTTCTGGATTTGGGTGGGTGTATTAATACTCCAAATTTTTAAATTCACAAAACAAATGAGCAGAAGCCTGTCTGCACATTTTTGCCTCATCTCTCATGTTCTATAAATGCTAGAAACATAGGTCTCATCCACACTGGAGTTTAATGTGAAATTGAAGCTGCTTGTGTATCTATCTTATCTTCCTCATCCTGCTGTTTTTGGACTACAACTCCCATCATCCCAAGCTCTCAGGACCAGTGGTCAGGGATGATGGAAATTGTGGTCTGAAAACAACTGGAGACCCAAGTTTGGGAAATCCTGGCCTAAGGCTTTGCTTGTACTCATTCCAGCTCATAGACCATGGTTTAAACATTATGTGTGAACCAGTAGCACTGTAGTGCAAGTCTGAAGTTCCTTTAGAAAGGTCCCAGCATTCTGTAGACTTTACACATCCAGGTCCCATACCTGGATGTAAAGTAATATACACTAGCCTTAAATTTAATGTGGTGTATGTGTGTGAGGGAGAGAGGGCGAGAGAGGGACAGAGAGAAGGAAGGAGATGAGCTGGAAAGGAAATAGAACAGACAATCCTGTAACCTATTCCCAATCCCTGAAGCTATGGTTAAGAGATCAAGAGCGTCATATTCGCACAAGCCTTGTACATCTGCAACATTGTGTACACTGTAACATAATGTATATTTCTGCCATGCTCAGATCCAGATTCCCATGTGTTCCAAGACCCCCCTACAATAAAGGAAAGGAATCTCCATCCACATATGGAAATATTAAACTTGCTTCCTATTTCCAAACTCTCCGCATTGTGCCTCTTTTCAAAGTGCTGGGCTGCCAAGAATCACAGGTATGTCATTATCCATAGCACTCACTCCCCATGTCTGCTAGAAAGATCTAGAGACACCACTCATCATTTTAAAGAATATTACCTTGTATGGGAAACGGCATCACTAAGGCTAAAAGCACTGTTCTCTCTTGTTAAAGGGTTGGAGGCTGGTTGGCTTTTGGTATGAATGTCCAAGCTTAACGAAGACTCTGTCTTCCTGTCCATCATGTGGCTGTCTTTTTCTAAAGTCCGGTCTGCAATAGAGACTACTTCACTGGAACTGTGCCATAGTGGTGCCACTTTCTCTTTTACAAGTCCTGATCGGGGAGATGTTGCCGAGTTGCCCAGGGAGGCTGTGCTGCCATGGCTGGGGCCGTAGGAGGTGGTATCAATGCCACTGTCAGCAGAAGTACCTTGAAGATAGTTGTAGCTATTCAGCTCTGACTCAGTCCTATCTCCACTGTCATACCACTTCTCCTCACTGTGGACACTGGATGCATTGCTGGACAGCGTGTTGCTGCTTGAATGACTAGAGTAGTGGCTATCAGACTGCAAAAAGGGGAGAAATTGTAGATAAATTCAAGGTTTCAGGAGAAAATAAAATAAAATGGGAATAACAGTACAGTACTGAAGACCAAACATCCATAAGCTCAAATATAAAATTAACAAGAACAAAATTCATGAACGCTGTACTCAAGACTTATGCTACAAGAGTTATGAGTCTGAAACACCCACCAACAGACCACTTTATAAATGAAACAGCCATTTCCACAATAATTTTCAGGCAGGACGCAGGTGGCGCTGTGGTCTAAACCACTGAGCCTCTTGGGCTTGCCAATCAGAAGGTTGGCGGTTCGAAGCTCCTGTTGCTCTATCCCATCTCCTGCCAACCTAGCAGTTTAAAAGCATGCCAATGCAAGTAGATAAATATGTACTGCTGTGGCAGGAAGGTAAACGGTGTTTCCATGCGCTCTGGCTTCCATCACGGTGTTCCGTTGCACCAGAAGCATTTTAGTTATGCTGGCCACATGACCCAGAAAGCTGTCTGCAGACAAATGCTTGCTCCCTCTGCCTGAAAATGAGATGACTGCCGCACCCCATAGTTGCCTTTGACTGGACTTAACCGTCCAGGGGTCCTTTACCTTTTTACCTTTACAATAATTTTCCATCAATTTGCTTTGAAATGCAAGTAAGTCCACTTCATCGTTTAATATATTCATATTCAAACAAAGCAGAACGATTTGTCGTATTGTCAGAAAGAAAAAAATCATTAGTGGAAAGTTATGAGCATGAAAATCTACATGTTCAGAGCTGAACCAGGTGAAATGAAGAAAAAGGATTCCAAGATATCAGGGGAACAGAACACACCAAACAATCAACATCCTATGCATTTCACAGCATCTGAAGCGAAACTTTTGCATCTTTCCTCAAGGTGGCTGTATGACAGTTAAAGCAACTGATTAATGAAGGAGTTAGGCCAGCAGCAGCTCAGTATATAAGAAGCCATGCAGAAGAATATGGATAAAACAAGTTACACTGGCAAATGTCTGCAACAGTTAAAATTGTGTGTGTGTGTGTGTGTGTGTGTGTGTGTGTGTGTGAGAGAGAGAGAGAGAGAGAGAGAGAGAGAGAGAGAGAGAGAGAAAAGCTTCAAATGCAAAAATGTGATGGTATGTACTATTAAAATAAATAAAAAAAGGATTTTAATGGTTTGGGGGAAATTCCTAGTTCTCAAGCTAGTTCCTTCCCCTTTAGAAATATGGCAATGCATCAATCTTTGCACATTGTTACAAGGGTCGTGTTTGGGCACTTTCGAGAGTGTGGATTAGTCAGTCAAACACCACAAGAGCTTAGGACTAAAACTGTGAGTCAGTTCACATGTCATGGTAAGCCATGGGTTATGGCTTGCTGTGAACAAGCAGTGGGCTAGAACACGCTGCTCAGTTGCTCCCACTCTGCGCCATTTTGTTTGGAGCTGGGAGAAACAACTGTGAAGATTGACTCAGCATCACTTGTGAAAGAACATTTGTTTCTTCCCAAACAAACCATGAACAGAAGCAAAGATTTGTAGAGCAACTGCTCATGGCTTGTTTGCATGTAACGCAAAGCTTATGGTTTGTTTCTCCTGGCTCCAGGAAGGGCAGTGCAATGCAGGATTGAATGAGCAGCACACACTCGTAAGCTCCTCATTCTTGGCAAGCCATAGTTTATTACCATGACATGTGAACCGGATCTCTCCAAGCAGAAATATTCAAAAGAAAAGTTAAGGGAGCAGGAGTCGGGGCGCAGAATCACAGAATTGTAGAGTTGGAAGGTACCCCCAAGAGTCATCTATTTCAAACCCCTGCAATGCAGGAATCTCAACTAAACAGAATGAAGAAAGGATATAGGGCTATAAATAGTTTGCTGAAAGAACATATTAATGTTGGTAAGTCACCAAAGTCTCGCTTGTGGAATGCGCAACAAGCCAGAGGGATTGAGCAGGAGGAATCTTATTTCTAGAATAATGAAGGTTCCCACAGATCTTTGGACTATCACACTATACTGGAGCATAACTCTACTTTTGAGTTGGCAGCAAAGCATTTCTATTAATAAACTTTATCTTAAAGCTTCATTTAGCTCTTAAAATACTGAGGTCAGCTCTACTGCCTGTTCCTCCATACTCTTAACAAGGACGTACAGGTTCAGGGAAAGTGAAGGATATTTTACCTTCGGAGAACTGCAGGGAGAGCAAAACAACTTTGCACAACAATTTTGAAAGTGGACTTACATGACCCTGCTTATTTGGAGACAAGTGGACTACTGGATCTTGCCTCATCAGCCTTCCAGTGGGGCTCTCTCTGAAGGATGGCAGCACCTTCGACACTGCAGGGAGATGGCATGTTGGTTCTGTAATGCAGCATGGAATACAGCATTTGCTTTCAAGAAGTTTGGCATTAAAAAAGAAAGAAGCTTAGAACCAAGAGAACTTAAAGCAGTGTATGCTTTCTCATCATCGGCAAAATTATTGTACCAGCAATAGGCCTTGACAACTTTTAAATACACTACAAAAAATAGCAATATATAAACAATAAAGTAAAAAATGAGTACGCCACCTCTTCACCTCCTGAGCTAAAGTTGCTTACCTGATACAGTTTGTATCTTAATTATTTCGAACTACATAATTAGAATCAACCTTTTTTTTAAAAAGACTGTATATGAGAGAGTACTTTTAACTGCCTTAAAACAGGAAACTAAAATATTCAAAGAGACCAACAGGTATCACTGTATTTGGGTTTCTACCTATGACATTGTCCTTTCATTCCAAAACCACAATTTTTCCTCTCTACCTGTTCCATTTTGTTCAGGTTGATATGGGGGCAGTTTAGTTTCCACAGCAGATTTTTTTTGGGCAGCTATGTTCAGTGCCAACATTAACACACAAGGGAGGGTCTGCAAAAGTAATTCTGAGTAAGATTAACTTTACACATGTTGTTACCATCTCAACAGTATAAAAACACATGTGATTAAAGTATTCTGCCAAAATGGAAACTAGAGATCAGTATAATCACAGGTTTTTCCTGTTAAGCAGATATGGGGGATGGGGAATTACCAGATGGCTTTAATAATAAGGCGCAGCTCACTGAGCCTCTGAAGTTACTAGAACAAAAGTGTATCTTTTGAATCTGAGAATCGCATTTCATTTCCTGAACTCCTGAGGCATTTGCTGAATACTTCAATCTGTCTCGAAGCCTACCTTATTTACACAGTAGCAGTATGTTGTGATGACAAGAATGATAGTAAGAGCTGAGCATCTTCAGCTTCTCTTATAGAATTCAACTAGCCTAGGACAATGGAGTTACCCCCACCCACCAATCTAGCTGTCAATTATGGATACCTAGGATAACAGGAAGGATCTCCCAACTCCCAATTATCCTAGGAAGTCACATAACCTTTCTGTTTTCAAGGTAACATCATATGGAATTTAGCTTTTGTTCAGGCTCTGATGTGGTATTCCGGGTAGTTAGATAAGCCCCTACAGAGAAGTTGAGCCTGTGTCAAATCTTAGTTTAGGGAATCAGGTTGTCTCACAACTTCTTTTGTTTTATTTTTAAAATATCCAGTCCAAGTACCACCATTTCCAGCTCCTATTCTTCTTTGCCTACATTCCCGCAATACACAAACCATGCCAGTTTGACCTGAGAACTGATGATGCAACGGACTTCCCTCCCAGACCTAACAGATACCAGGCTGGATGCGTCGTATTTGGTGTACTGCCAACCAGGAAGCCACACTCTCCACGCTGGAATCCTTAATCAAAGCTAGTCACACTGTATCAGTGTCACTGCCAAGATGAATGAAACCATAGTAAAATTCCTATTAATGCAAAAGCCTCAGCAGGATCTACCAGTGTCAGGTCACTGCTTCAGTAGCTACAAACGAAGAGAAACAGGTCCGTGTACTGAGATGCCAAATGAAGGCTTAACTTCATTTAATCTGCTGAGTCCTGAGGATCTTTCTTTCATCTAACTACTTAACTGCAAAGCACTGTGCAAATACACCCAGCAGCAGAAAGTGATTCTCACCCAACTGTACATTTTTACTTATATTTTATCTGCATTAAAAAATAATAATCTGTACGTGGGTTGTTTATACTTTCAACCATCTAACAGTCAGCATATAGCACCATTAGAAAGGAAGCACTACAAAAAGAGCTACAGAAAAGGTAAAAATTAAATTACGCTGATGCAGTGCTGAAAAGAGATGAGGGTAAGTAAGCAGTAAGGCCAAGTAATATTTGTGCCTGCACCGCTGCTTCTTAAAAGATGCCCCAGGCACTGAACCATTATAACTGATCTATTCTCTAGAGAACTTCATTTCTACATCACATGATGTTCCCAGGTCTCAAGGACACAAAGTGCAGATGACAGTATACCTCACATTTCATCATTCATTCTCACTAACAGGGGTAACATTAAAAAAAATATGGAATTGCTCCTTTTAAGGAAGGAACAGGTTGCCAAAGTCACCTTGTGGGGGAAACCATTTAATTGCTGCAGAAGTTGTTGCTTACCCATCTGGTCAGCAATGCTATCCTCACTTCTCTGCCAACTGGGGGTGGATTTGCCACTGCCACTCGTATCTGTGTTCTGCCTGTCGATGGAGGCAGGAGATCTTCGATTCATTCCAAACCTGAGGTAAATAATTATTCTTTAGTTCCATACATGGTAAATGTGGTATACAGCAAACATCTCTTTACATCAAGAAGCCATGCTTACACAATGCACTTCTGATACAAACGTGTGTTTTTTTTAAAAAAAAAGCTATGCTTTTCTTATTGTGGAGGTTTCTGACTTTCCATTTCTAGGATTATGAATTGAGAATATACTTCAACTGCCAAACATCCTCCATAGGTAAACTCCACTACTGCTACCCAAGTGTATGAAGAGCCAGGATTTAAAGGACTGTGGTAATAACTAACACAAACATGAAATATGTCATCTTGTGATGCCCATTCCTGCACAGAGAAAAGTCTGAAAGATGGAACACGAACAACAAATTCTCCTTTCATGGCTAGCCCCAAAAGGGCCTCAGAGCCAAAGTCAGCAACAAAACAGAGGGCTTCAGTCATACTTAAGGATTCTCTGCAAAAGACACCTCACCATGAATTGGCTAGCAGTCCTTTCAGTAGACCTCCCAAATGTGAAAATGCCACATGGGGGTGCATTTTGACTGGCCAAGTTTTGTATGATGCACAACTGAGATTTGTACACAGTGGAGGTGCAATCTGAGTGAGTGGGCCCATCTGTCATACCACTCCTACTTGTGACTTTGTGGGTTACTGAAGGAAAAGAACAGGTGGTGGCTCAGATTCCCACCTGGATGGAGGCAGCACAGGTATCAGGGACAGCACAGTAAGACAGTGACAGGTATGGAATTATCCTGGCAGTTCCAGTGCCAGAAATGGTACCGAAAGCACTGTTGTCCCACTGAACTGGGGTGGGTACACTAATTCTAAAAATCCAAATTGATCAACATTATCGGTGTGCATTTGCAGAAACTTTGCACATCTAATACATTATAATTAGACAAGCCAGGTGTGTAACGTCTGAGAGCACCTTGAGTCTCGAAGCAGTGGTAGCAGAGCATTGCACCTGGCCTTTCCCATAGACGACGCTCTCCTTGAAGCTGATTTATTTTACAACACGAATGTGATGCTCCTGAGGTGTGTAGGGTGCTGTTAGGCAGCAAAGTCCAATTGGTGAGCTTCCTTGCCCCACCCAGCCTTTTCATTGGGGAAACACTGAACAAGGGGAGAGAAAGCAGTGGAATCCAATGGGTGTGCTCCCCCCACCTGGTCTTTTCTCAAGGGAAAAATTGACAGTAAGGGGTTTCCATTCTTGAAAGCCTCAGGGTGCAACCCTATACACACCTTCCTGGGAATAATTCCCACTGAACACAATGGGATTTACGTTTGAGTAAATATGCATATGATTGCCCTGTATGATACTGGAATGCTTTTGGGAAGTGGCTGTTCATGGGTGTTCATTCTGCACTCTGCTTTACTCACTTCACTACAGCTTTCAATGTTTTTGATTGCCACTTGTATGAAACAATTGTACTCTAATTTCCTTCATGCTAACAATCTGAAAATGGGTAGACTTTGTAACCACTAGATTTCAATCACTTAAACCATTCAGAACTGTTGGTTGCAATCAAATTCGTCATTCATTTTAACAATGCTATAATCCCCTGTGGCTCACAGCTTCAGCACTGGTAAATAGCCATGGAGAAAAGATGTGAGCGAGTCGACAGAAGATGAGTAACAGGGAAAGGTGATAATGAAGATTTGTTGGCCTGGTGACTATGGATAGAAACTTTTATTATTGCTGCTATCTTGTTTATTCAAGTTTACAATCTGGACTTTCAGAACACAGCCGTAGCCAGGAATCCTACCAACTCCATCAAGGATGCAATGCATTTTCTGATTCAGACCTAGCAGCTGTCATGCAAGAATGCCATTACAACTCTGAAAGTGCATCACTGCTCCTATTCTGGGGTTCCCATTCAAAACTACAGCTAATAAAGAATGTGGAGGGACAATGGCCTTCTCATGTCCACTTGCAATACTGGATAGTATTTTTCACAAATCACAAAGTGCGAAGACATACAGGGCCAGTTGCAGTACAACATTTTACATATTCAGTGTTTGGGGGTAGGTGATAGAAGAGGGACAAAAAGATGTCTAGAAGTGGAAATAATTTGACAATATGTATTATCGTGGGACGCGGGTGGCGCTGTGGGTAAAAGCCTCAGCGCCTAGGGCTTGCCGATCGAAAGGTCAGCGGTTCGAATCCCCGTGGCAGGGTGCGCTCCTGTTGTTCGGTCCCAGCGCCTGCCAACCTAGCAGTTCGAAAGCACCCCCGGGTGCAAGTAGATAAATAGGGACCGCTTACTAGCGGGAAGGTAAACGGCGTTTCCGTGTGCGGCTCTGGCTCGCCAGATGCAGCTTTGTCACGCTGGCCACGTGACCCGGAAGTGTCTCCGGACAGCGCTGGCCCCCGGCCTCTTGAGTGAGATGGGCGCACAACCCTAGAGTCTGTCAAGACTGGCCCATACGGGCAGGGGTACCTTTACCTTTACCTATTATCGTTTCAAAGACAATTTCATGAGCTGGGACTGTTGATAGGTTGCCTTTCAGCAACACTGTATTTCAAGACTAGAAGATAAAGTCTTCTGAAATGTTTTCACATATACTCATCAGTGGGAATTGCCTGAAAGCCACTTCATGGAAGCATAATGCTATTCTGGGAACTGGCCGCATAAAACAATTATTGAATTTTAATATACACTCTGCCTTAAGTGTTAAAGACAGGCTAAGTCAAAACAAATGCTGGTCAGTTTCTAAGCAAGCCTACTTCAAACCATGGCTTATGAAGCTGGTCTGTTTAACTAAAGCTTGTTTCAAACCAAGATCTCTGGCTTGTAGAAAACCACTCAGAATTAGGGGAAATGCTAGCAAAGTCCTTCTCCAAAAACTTGGATAAAGAGAGAAGGAGAGGGGAAAGCATGAGTTTATGAGTCTTCTCTGGGCTTCTTCCTCCTGATACACATAGCAGTAAACCATAGTTTAGTGCTATGTATGAACCAGCCCAGTGAGTTTAACAACACTTGAAAAGAGGCTAAGTACTAATTTATACTCTTCTCCAGTCTCAACGAAACAGTACACAAAATAAACAAACATACGAGGGCCTACCCTTCGGGCATAGATTTTTGCCTGTAGGTGCCTCCACCAGAGCCAGTTTCACTGCAGGATGATAAGTTGCTGGGAGAGTTACGGCACTGCTGTGATCTTGCTAAGGCAATGGATGAAACGGTGACGTAAACATCAGAGCCAGGGGATAATCTGTTCAATACAAACAATCCCAAACGTTACATTATTAAAGGAACCATTGCAGCACAAAGCTTGATAGAGCAACAACACTTTTGTGGGAACTGCCACATCAGCAGTGTCAATTCATTGAGACAGTAAGAAATGAAGCCAGCTGGAGGGCAGTATGTATTTTCCTCCATTAACCTGCTCCCTATGGAACAGCGGTGAAAGATTAGGGAGTGACAAAGGGGAGAAATGACTGTTTCCAAGGAGTTCCAGAAATAAAGTTGCTGAGTTGCATTTGCTATTTGCAAGCAAGGAATATTAACACGTAGCATATTTTATACAAATCCCAAATAAAATGTGATTTAACTAAGCACCTCAGAACAAGCTTTAGCAAAACATTTTTTTAAAACTTTGTATTTACCAATATGATCTGCAAAAGATGCCACAACTTTGCAAAATCAAATACTGGCATTTTAGGTAAAGCATATTTCCTCGGATAGTCAAGAAAACATGATGCAGGGTATTTACAGATACAAGTCCTTACATCACAGGAATGCTTCATTTTTAATAGCTCTCAACAAGTATAAAAAGACAATTGTTTGTCATAAGCTGGGTGTGGGGAACCTTTGGTCCTCCAAATGTTGATGAACTACAACTCCCATTATCCCCAGCAAACATGGGCAATAGCCAGGGATGCTGGGAATTGTAGTTCAGCAACTTCTGAAGGACTATGGGTTCCTCACACCTGGCATAATCAGTAGCTTAATGGCCTGTTCACCCAACCAGTCCCTGAATTCACTTTGCACTTTGATTTACTTACACACACTGTTCCACAGGTGGTGAAACAGTCCAAACGGTTTGTTTTTATGATATGAGCCTCCCTGGACGTTTTTTAAAACTGTGCAGCAGGGAGATAGTTGTACAACTGAGACAGTGCAAAACATATGTAAGAAAAGGAAACTTTCTTTGCTGGCTGGCTAGCTGACAGATGAGCGCAGCACTGCTCAACCCCAGTTGGGTTCTGAGTAGATCACAGCTTTCTTTCAGCTTCCAATGGTGGCCCAGCTTTACCACTGCATAGCAACTGCCTATCCTCTGTTGTCTGTGTTCTGGTAAACTCTAGGACTAATGCAATGTGTTACATAGGAATGCCTAAGAAGATAGTTCAGAAACTGCAGCTGGTACAGAATTTGGCAGCCAGACCATTGATTGGGGGAGGATGGTTGGAACATATAGCACAAATTCTGGGTACCACTTAGTTTCTGGACTCAATTTAAAGTGCTGATTCTTACCCCTAAAGCCTTATGTAGCTTAGGATCCACAGTACCTCAAGAACTGCCTCTCCCTGCAATGAACCCACCCAGACCCTGTGATCACCATCTGAGTCCCTTCTTTGTATGCCTCGTCCATGGACTATTTGGAGCAGAGCTTTCCAGACTGTGTGTCGCGACACCTTAGTGTGTCGGCTGCAGTGTGTAGGTGTGTCACATGAACACTCCTTGTGCTCCTCCTGGGGCTGGAAAGGGATTAGTTTAACCTCCGGTTTGGTACTAAAACTGAATTACTGTGTCACGAAATGATGCATGTATAAAAAGTGTGTCACCATCATGAAAAGTTTGGAAAGCTCTGATTTGGAAGGTGGCAACACAAGAAAAGAGAAGTCTTTCCCTGATGCCTAAAGCTGGATAAGGGACGTGGGTGGCGCTGTGGGTTAAACCACAGAGCCTAGGACTTGCTGATCAGAAGGTTGGCGGTTCGAATCCCCGTGACGGGGTGAGCTCCCGTTGCTCGGTCCCTGCTCCTGCTAACCTAGCAGTTCTAAAGCACACCAAAAAGTGCAAGTAGATAAATAGGTACCGCTCCAGCGGGAAGGTAAACGGTGTTTCCGTGCGCTGCTCTGGTTCGCCAGAAGCAGCTTAGTCATGCTGGCCACATGACCCGGAAGCTGTACACCAGCTCCCTCGGCCAATAAAGCGAGATGAGCACCGCAACCCCAGAGTCGGGCACGACTGGACCTAATGGTCAGGGGCCCCTTTACCTTTACCTTAAAGCTGGATAAAGATGGTGCTGGGCAAGCCTCCCTGGGGCGAGCATTCTACAATCAGGAGGCCATAAATGAAAAAGCCTATTCTCTGACTTTTGGCCCTTCACTTGAAGGATGTCATTGTGTCCTCTTCAAGTGGGGTGGGACCCATAGCTCTGCCTTTTGTTTACCCGCATTTTCAGGCTGTGCTTTTAGGTTTTCATTGTTGTTTATAATGGGCTTTAATGTAAGTCACATTGGATTGCTTTTCAAGAAAATCGACCAACAAATATAATATAAAATAACAGCCAGATAGATTCTTCTGGGCTGGTGGCCAGCTGGCTTGCCTTTGGCAAAAAACAGGCAGCTTGGCTAGCTGGGAAGGTTTGGTCTTGCCATGCACACCCATGTGTGCAATACAACTGCTGTTAAGGTGGAGTGGCTTACAAAGATTTGAAATGTACATAATAATAAATGTAAATAGTAATAATCACACAAAAAACCTAGCACAGCCAAAACTTTTGTTGAAGCAATATGTACACAACACATGCATCACAATATATTTATTTTTAAAAAATTAAAAATTAAAATTGGCTAACGGATGGGAAATCAGCTTCTCTCCTTTCTTGTCTAGGAACTGCTATCTTAGGAGTAAAAAAACCCAACAAAAACACCGTTATTGGACTAGGACTGTTTTGAGCAATATGGTGCCACGATAAAACGGCTAGCGTATTTGCAAAGCTAAGCAGGGTGGTTGTTTTATTTGGTCAACTAGCATCCCTAGAAATGAGGTGTCTGCCATTTTGCTCAAATCAGTATTTTTAGTCTTGGTTAAACATTATTATTACCAGATGACTGCTCTGAAGTTCATGTCCCAACCATTTTGCCTGCTAATCATTAAATGCTGGCTGGCTGGCTGCAAGAGACTAGATTTCATTTTAAAAAATTCTACTGCATCTTGGGGCAGAAATCCAATTTAACAGCAGCAAAAGCATTGGCTTTGAGGTGCTATTATTGAGAACCAGACAGTTTGAATCAGTTATCCAGTTCAAGGCTCTCTGCATATTCACTGAGGCATTAAAGCCATTTTCCAGGCTTCCCATTTGCAAAGTTTGATTTTTCAGACAAATAATATGCTTATACCAAAAATATTTTGTTCTGAAATTCATGCTGAGGTTTCGTAATGCTGTTCTTTGGCAGTTCTTCTGCCTGTGTTTCCTTTAAATATTTATTTTAGTTGTTGCTTCTCTGCCTGAGGGCTTTTTGCTCCCTGTATTTGCCTCAAAAATATGTTGCACATATTACAAAACGTCCCCTGCTATGCCTTGTCCCTGAATTCTATAGTTATGAAATGGGTTAGGTAATGATATACGCAGCAGCAGAAAACTAAAAATGTAATTTGCAAGCTGCCTAAGGAGTGACTGCCAATATAGTGCCTTTACAGCTCAATTAAACACAGGTTCACTTGGAAGAAAGCTCCGAGGGGTTCTACCCAAAGGTGGCTTTGTGCTCCTGGAAAGTGATTTTATTTTTCAAGGTGGAGAACCTGATTTCCAGTGATTCCTCCTCACCTACCATAGCCCTCTTTACTCCATACTCAAGAGTTCCAGAGGGTGCTTCACCCCTCAAGAATAGCTTTTCAGATGACAAAGGAGCTGCCACACCTTGTGCTCTCTACTACTGCAAATATACACTGGCTATAACCCACTGTCTTCAATAGGAGTTTTCCCCCGAGCAAGTGTGTGGGGTTGCAAAACATGCGGCATAAAGCGTTTTCCAATCTTTGTATGCTTATCAGGTTTGTTATCACAAGAAGTTTCAATTTTTACTTATTTATTAAGTCTGTATGCCACCTTTCATGCAAGCACAGGGAGCCTTACGGTCTCAGAATACAAAAATACAAAGAAACAAAACAATAACACCCACACCCCAGTTTAGAAGGTTGTAGGTGGTTTAACTAGCCAAAGGCCTGGGAAAAGAGGAATCTTTTTGCCTCGTGCCTAAAGATATGTCATGAAGGCGTCAGGAGAGCCTCCCCGGGGAGAGCATTATACAGATGGGGAGCTACCACAGAAGCCCATTCTTGTCAAAAGCAATAACCAAATTACAACTAATAAGAAGCTCCCAGCATTCCTAACACATTTGGAAGAAGTGGCCCTGTGGTTATACTGGATGAAGGGGGGGCATATAAATAACAAAACAAAGAAATGAAACTGGCCCACCTGAACACAGCGGAAACCCAACATCAAGGGTGTTTACTGTAGAAAGTAATACCTGACACTTTTAATTTCAGTGATGCTTTTCAGCTGTGAACTGCCGTATTTTTCGCTCCATAAGACGCACCTGACCATAAGACACACCTAGATTTTAGAGGGGGAAAGCAAGAAAAAACAAAATTCTGCACAGAGCATGTAAGCGGCTCTCGATTTTCTTGCTTTAAAGCAAGCCAAGTGAGAGCTGCTCATATGGCTTCTGTCCCGCTTTGCTTGCCCATCCCTCATCCCGCCTCGCTGTAGAAGAGGAGGAGGAGACACCGGGACTGGTGCTTTGCTTGCTTTACAGCACGGCGGGAGGAGGGATGGGCAAGCAAAGTGAGAGCTGCGCAAAATGGGACAGAAGCCATGTAAGCAGCTCTCGCTTTGCTTGCTCCCTTCCATCCCTCCTCCCGCTTCACTGTAAAGCCAGCAGAGCAAGAGCCGCTGCGCAGCTATCGCTGAAGCCAGGAGAGCAAGAGTGATAGCTGCACAGCGGGTCTTGCTCTGCTGGCTTCCCAGCGAAGCGGGAGAAACAGAAGGGAGCCCTTACACGGAGCCCCTTCCGTCCCACATCCCGCTTCGCTGGGAAGACAGCAGAGCAAGAGCCGCTGTGCAGCTCCCGCTGAAGCCAGCAGCGTCAGAGTGATAGCTGCGCAGCAGCTCTTGCTCTGCTGTCTTCACAGCGAGCGACGGACGGGAGCCATGGCTCTGGCTGCGGAGGCATCCCTCAGCTCGCAACTGCAGCGGTAGCCAAGGGATCTCTCTGCCTCCCAGTGCATTTGCTCCATAAGATGCACAGACATTTCCTGTTACTTCTTAGGAGGAAAACAATGTGTCTTACAGAGCGAAAAATACAGTAGTTCATTGAGGGGAGAAGGGATGTAGGAGAGATAAAGCAAAAGTACATTTCATGGCATCAACACTCTACAGTGCCCAGGACTTGCTGTGAGAGGAACATATGACAGCCAAGAGCACACAGGCTTGCTCTATCAATGTCAAATGAGCTTTAGTCAAAGCTCGGCTCTCTAGGCAAAACTTGCTGTGCCACATGATAGCATGAAATGGCAGGAAGCATCGCTGGTATCAAGTGATCAAAAAAAAAAAAAAAAAGGTCCAATTTACTTGGTCCTTTTGGTGTGCATGAGAGAGTGTAGAAATGGTGTGTTTCAGACTACATTTGCTCTGCATTCCAGCAATGTTGGGAAAATCCAGAATGAACAAAACAGGTTGGTGTTTTTTTACATGTAAAACTAATTGTGTATTGTATAAATAACATCAGCCAGAGACTTCACACGTTCTCTACAGAAGGAAGAGAATTTTGATAAGATCTAAAATTGCAACAACAGGTATTGCTACCCCAAATAAAGGGCACTGCATTCTGCAATGCTATAATGACATTTTGCCTAAAAGCCGACAAAGAATATCTGAGGAAAGAGAAGCACAATTATCTTGGAACTATCCCCCTTCTTTACTGACTACAGGCTTAGAGCTCATACGACCAATATAGTGAGGTCTTTCTTCCAACGGACTGTGTTATTCATATACTTTAAAGCTAGCCCTTCCATTTACCGAACCAATCTTCAACATGTGCTAATCCCCTAAAAAGTTCAAAATCCATTGCTTTCAATGTGCAAAAAGGGGATGGAAATAAGGTTTTAGAGTGCTGAGGCAATTTGCCAAACGTGAACACAAGCGGAAGGGCTAGAGCTACAGGCGATTCTTTCATATTCCAATATGAACTGCTTTTGCCTTTCTTGCCTTACAATATGCTCTTTTCTTAATATAGATATAACAACACAGATGTTTGTGTTTCTGCAGGTTCGCAGAGGAAAATATAATTAGGGATGTTTTTCTTTTAAAAAAAGAATTTTTTAAACAATAGAGAGACATGAGTATATGTGCATTTCTTCATACTCCAGTTACTGGAAAAGTAAGGTGGCATGACTAGAATTGGTACCTGAAGACTATGAGTTAATCCCCAAATGCTGTGAACTAGTTTAGTGTCATTTCTTTTAGATACCAAATACTTTCTGGAAGTGAATAAAAACATTTTGTTGAGGTGGGGGTCAGATTTGATCTGGATAAGAAACAGGGGAATTGGAATGTGAACTTGTGTGCCTGAGAGTTCTTACTGCTGTTGTTTCAAAAGTCTCAGAATGCTGCAACATACCTTGGACGAAAACAACACACAAATTAGTTATCTACCTTCTACTCTCCAGTGGCCGCCCGTCACTAGAAATACTGCGTGGAATATTGGCTGCTCGCTCTGGGGGAGGCATTTTCCCTTCACCTTTCCCTGAGGCAACCCTAGTGGTAGCTGGACTTTGCATCTGGGATGGCATTTGCTGCCCATGAGGCCCTTGTCCCTTGTTAGCATTTCTCTGCCATTTGTTGTTATTCCTGAAAGGGAACTTGAACTCGTATGGAACACCGCCGTCATTCATTTTGTATTCCATCACCGGCATGCGATTAATTTCTGAAAAACTTCTGAAAGAGAAAGAAGAAAGCATAATGCAATTCTGAAATAAGGGAGAAAAGTACAGTCGTTACCTTGGAAGTCGAGCGGAATCTGTTTCGGAAGTCCGTTCAAATTCCAAAATGTTCAGAAACCAAAGTGCGGCTTCTGATTGGCTGCAGGAAGCTCTGGCAGCCAATCTAAGCCGTGAACGCCCCGTCGGATGTTTGGCTTCCCAAAATAGTTCGCAAACTGAAACACTCACTTCTGGGTTTGCGGCGTTCGGGAGCCAAAACGTTGGAGAACAAAGCTGTTCGAAAACCAAGGTTTTTGCAATATACCCTTATATGACAGCAATTGTGATACCCCTAGTCTTGAGTGCTAAATATGGCCCAGACTGGTTAGTTACACATTAATTCTATCCCTAATTTATAGGGCACTAGCCAATCAAGTCATACTCAGACACAAGGAAATCAACTGACTTAAACTAACTAATGTTTCTGTATGTCTAACACTTGATATCTCCCATAGTCTCTGGAACAGAAGTCTGGTCATATCACCTGAACTTCCAAAAAAATAAAAATCAATTACAATCGTAAAAACAGAAAGAAGACCGACTGAATTCAGTGGGACTTACAGCAGAATAAATATGCTTAGGGTTATGTCAGGGAACTGCCATCAGAGGAACAGGTGGTGGAGGGGCTCAGGGAGGCTGGGAGAGACTCAACAGCTGAAGAAGGAACCAGCCGGGGGAGGAGTGGATCTCTGAGGGAATGCGAGCAGGAGGGAGGGCTCAGAGACGCTTCCAGCGAGAACAGTGGGGAGGTATCTGAAGCTCCCATAGGGAGACCCACGCCTCGCCGGAAACTGTCACGCCGTGAGTCCAGAAGACGTGTTTCCGTTAAGGAGCTGTTATGCTGGAAACGATTCCGAAAGCAACCACTGTCGGAATCTGCAAGTGACTAGAGCAGCCATGTCTGAGGGGCTCCGTCACCGACAGAGGTTTGTGAACGTGCACAGACTCTGAGGGACTACGCTTTTACGCACAAGCAGCTCATCATCCCATCACAGCATTCCGACAGTCTTTGTAAGCTGCTGGTGCAGGAAAAGGCATCATGAGTGACCCAGCCGGAACCGGAGGAGCAGGGGTTGGAGCTGGTCCAAGCTTGGAAGAAAGGTACCGAGCGTTGGAGATCCAACTGGCGCTGCAGACGGCGAGGCTTGAGGAGAGAAGGGCGCAGGATGCAGACAAGAAGGGGAAAACCACCCAGTTCACCAGAAAGGTACCAGGATTGGTGCAGAAGTTTGGGGGGGGACCCCAAGGACTACCATGCCTTTAGAACAGAGATGCAATATGCTCTCAATGTGCAGTTTGAGGAATTCCCTGACGAGGAATCGCGAGTGGCTTTCGTGATTGGGCATCTTGAAAAGGGGGCGCGGGACTGGGTTCGGCCCCTGATGGCAACGCATAATGACATCCTAAAGGACACAATGAAGTTCTTTCGTGCAATGGATCTCATGTTTTCCAGCGATATTGAGAAGGGAGTGGTGCGCAGACAGCTAATGGCTTGCAAGCAGGGAAGCCGATCTGTCCGTGAGTACTGGACTGAATTCACCATGCTGGTGCACAGATTGGGGTGGGACTTATCGGCGGAACCCATTCAAATGCTTTTTGAAGAAGGTCTTGCTTCGGCGGTGAAAGATGAGCTTTCCCGGGGGCCCAGGGCGGATTCTATGGATCAGCTGACCAAATCTGCGCTGACCATAGGAGCGCGCCAGGAGGCGAGAGCTTTGGAGAGGCGGGAAGGGAAGGGGGAACGTTGCAAGGAGTTCCGCATTCCAGACATTCCAGAGCCAGCTTTCCCGCCGGCAGAGCCGATGGAAATCGGAACAGCGCGCGCGCGCGCAGTTTCAAAGCCCAGTGAAGGGGGGAAGAAGGAGGGAAAAGGCGCCCGGAAATGCTATCTCTGCCAACAGCCAGGTCACTTTGCCAGAGTATGCCCCCAGAGGAAGGAATGGCAAGGGATGGTGGGGGCTGTGGAGGAAATACAGGAGCCCAAGCTACCCTAGCAGGGACGGAAGTAACGGAGAAAGTGAAGGTACCACGACAATATGCAGATCTCAGCGACGTGTTCAGCGAAAGGGAAGCTGACCAATTACCACCGCATAGACCCTTTGATTGTCAAATCAATTTACTGCCTGGGGCACAGCTCCCTGTAGGCAAGTTGTATGCCATGTCAGACAGAGAGATACAGGTGCTAAGAGAGTTTATTGACAAAAACCTGAAGAGAGGTTTCATCAGAGAGTCAAGAGCGGTGGGAGGTAGCCCAGTGTTTTTTGTGGATAAAAAAAACACGGACAAGCCGAGACTTGTGTGTGACTTTAGGGCCCTGAACGCAGTGTCAGAGCCCCTGGCTTTCCCCATGCCCAGGATTGATGACATTTTGAACAGGGTGCGGAAGGGAAAGATTTTTACAAAGCTGGACCTAAGGGGGGCGTACAACCTGATACGTATAAGGAAAGGGGATGAATGGAAAACCACCATGTTCACCCCTTTGGGGGCATTTGAATATCTCGTTATGCCATTTGGATTACAAGCAGGCTCGGCGTGCTTTCAATCGCTGATGAACCACGTACTAGGGCCTTTGCTTTACAAGAATTGTGTGGCCTTCCTAGATGATGTGTTGGTGTATTCTGAGAATGAGGAGCAGCATGTGAGAGACGTCAGAGAAGTGTTGAGCAGGCTGCTAGCCAACCGGCTGTGGGTGAAACTGGAGAAGTGTCAGTTTCATACCAAGGAGGTGGAGTTCCTGGGGTACCGCCTGTCAGACAAGGGATTGGCCATGGATCCCGGCAAGGTCCAGGCAGTGCTGGAATGGAAAACACCCAAAACAAAGAAGGATGTGCAGAGGTTCCTAGGGTTTGGGAACTTTTATCGTAAGTTCATCCGAAACTTTGCCCACCTGACGGCGCCCATTACGGACTGTCTCAGCAGTAAGAAGAAATTCGTTTGGACTGAGGAGGCGGAGCGAGCTTTTGAGGAGCTAAAAAGGGCCTTCGCCTCTGAAGAACAACTTCTGCATGTGGATTTACAAAAAAAGATGAGAGTCGAAACGGACGCATCAGACAGAGCCATAGGGGCGGTGCTTCTTCTGCAGCCAGGGAAGGAGGAGTCAGAGTGGAGGCCGTGTGCTTTTTTCTCGTGAAAGCTGAACAAATCCGAGAGGAACTACACGGTGTACGATCGAGAACTTCTTGCTATTCATGAGGCTTTTCGGAGATGGAGGCACCTGCTAATTGGCGCACAACATAAGGTGCAAGTGTGCACTGACCACAAGAACCTAGAGTATTGGAGAACGGCACGAGTGCTCAACCAACGGCAGTTGAGGTGGGCCCAGGAGTTCTCCAAATTTAACTTTGAGATTCGTTACGTGCCAGGCCCAGAGAACGTTAGGGCGGACGCTCTCTCACGCAAACCTGAATATTTGGAGGGGGAGGGAGCACCCGAAGAAAGACATGTCATTCCAGAGGACCGCTGGGTGTGTGGGGCGGCATTGGTGGGGCAAAGAGAACTGGTAGAGGGAACGGAGAATGATGAATACGCCCAGGACAAACTCAGGGGACTCAGGAGGGAGGGAGATAAACCCGGAGGTTTTGAGGAGAGAAACGGGGCGTTGTACTACAAGGGAGCGTTATATATACCTGAAGGAGAGTTGAGGGGGAAGGTACTCAAGCAGCTGCACGATAGCCCCACAGCGGGGCATTTTGGGCAACACAGAACCATGTGGCTGGTGACCAGGGAATTTTGGTGGCCCAAGGTCAGGGAAGACGTGCGGGAGTATGTGAGGAGTTGTGACCAATGCCAGCGAGCCAAAGGGGAAAGGCGGGCGCCGGCAGGGTTATTAGAACCGCTACCCACACCAGAAAGACCATGGGAAGCAGTGGCCATAGATTTTATGACTGATCTGCCAAGGTCCAGAGGGAAAACAGCCATCATGGTTGTGGTAGACCTGTTAACCAAAATGGCACACTTTATAGCCTGCTCACATGCTGTCACGGCAGAAGAAACAGCTAAATTGTTTGTAGAAAATGTGTTTAGGTTGCATGGCGCCCCCTTGAAGGTGGTTTCTGACCGAGGGAAACAATTTACTTCCAGGTTCTGGAGGAAGCTCATGAGCTTACTGCAGGTAGAGGTTAATTTCTCGACTGCCCGGCATCCTGAGACCAATGGGCAGGCGGAAAGAGCCAATGGCATCCTCCAGCAATATTTGAGGTGTTATGTCAATGACAGAGAGAATGATTGGGTGGAGAAGTTGGCATTGGCGGAATTTGCCTACAACAATGCGGAGAACGTGTCCACGGGGATGAGCCCCTTTTTGGCTAATTACGGGTGCCATCCCAGGGCTTTCCCAGGGGGGGAAGGGGAGAGATGGAGCGTTCCAGCTGCCGAACAGTTCGTAGAAGAAATGGAAGCGATCCATCGCCAGCTCCAACTTAACTTAGACAGGGCCAAGGAGGAATATAAGAGGCAGGCAGACAAACACAGGAGAGAAGGTGAAACCATTAGGGTGGGGGACCAAGTGTGGCTGTCAACCCAAGGGTTACCCTTCAAAGGGGGTTGTAAAAAGTTAAGACCCAAAAGATTGGGCCCATTTGAAATCACACAACAGGTCAACCCAGTGGCTTTCAGACTCCACATGAAGCTGCACCCAGTTTTCCACAGGTCATTGCTGTCACTGTATAAAGGGGACAGAGAAGGGAGGGTCACTCGGGGACCAGCAATGGAGGAAAGGGAACAAAGCTACCATGTAGCGGAGATCCTCGATTCCAGGTGGAAGGGAGATCAAGTAGAGTATTTGGTAATGTGGGAAGGGGAACCGGAGTTGGAAAACACCTGGGTCAGGGCAGAGGATGTCAATGACGAGGTTTTAATAGAAACTTTTCATCAGAGGTTCCCACGCAAGCCTCAGCCTGTAGCGAGGTTCCGGAGGGAATACTTTGCCACCACCGACGAAGAAGAGGAGTTGGAGGGGTTCACAGAGTCCGAGGAGGAGGAGGATTCAGCGAGCCGGGACGGCGACCGATGGAGGGAAATGTTCGAGACGTCTGAAGATGAAGAAGATTCCTTTTGGGGTTTTACCTCCTCACCTCCCAGAGGAGAGGAAACGGGAGGGGGTGAAGGGGGCCCTGGAGGGGAGGTGGATGTCAGGGAACTGCCATCAGAGGAACAGGTGGTGGAGGGGCTCAGGGAGGCTGGGAGAGACTCAACAGCTGAAGCAGGAACCAGCCGGGGGAGGAGTGGATCTCTGAGGGAATGCGAGCAGGAGGGAGGGCTCAGAGACGCTTCCAGCGAGAACAGTGGGGAGGTATCTGAAGCTCCCATAGGGAGACCCACGCCTCGCCGGAAACTGTCACGCCGTGAGTCCAGAAGACGTGTTTCCGTTAAGGAGCTGTTATGCTGGAAACGATTCCGAAAGCAACCACTGTCTGAGGGGCTCCGTCACCGACAGAGGTTTGTGAACGTGCACAGACTCTGAGGGACTACGCTTTTACGCACAAGCAGCTCATCATCCCATCACAGGTTATGAAGTAAAGTTTGGATTCAGAGATCCTGGAAATGGAACTCAGATCAATGGGGCTTACTCTCAGGAAACTGGGTATAGGATTGCAGCCTAAATGTTATTTTAAGAACTGCATTTAGGAAATAACTAAAAATACTGAACTTCAAAATTGACAGGGTTTTCTTGCCTTGCTGTTCTATTCTTCTACTTCAAGGCTATGCAAGTTTTATATTATATGAACAGGTGGTTTTTGAAAAATATGTGAAAGCAACAATATGAATGATGGCTAATAACATTTGCCAAATTGTAAACATCAATTGCCCTAACTTTGAGCTGACTTATCTTAAAACATGCATTTAACACAGAACTAGCTGTTAGAAAAATGAGATAGCCTCCCACATAATATATGTAAATTCTGCTCCAGGAGAAAGGTTCTATTCTTTCATACTCTGGCACTTGACTTTTGTACAGATAGGTGTGGGAAACCTGTTGATGACTGTTAACGGCTGTAAACCCCTTGCTTTTTCCTGTAAGACCAATCGCAGTCGTTAACAGTTGTCAACAGGTTTACCACAACTATCAGTCAATCACCCATTCCCACCCCTCCCCACCCTCTCACTATATATAAGGGTCTGGTGACTTCTGTTTCAATTTATCTGAAGAAGTGTGCATGCACACAAAAGCTCATACCAATAACAAACTTAGTTGGTCTCTAAGGTGCTACTGGAAGGATTTTTTTTATTTTGTTTCGACTATGGTAGACTACCTACCTGTAACTAGAACTTTTCTATAGAGAGTTAAAGTAAAAGGTGAAACTCATCTCAAGTTATTCTGAGGTCAGGCTGAAGGATCCAAATAATAAAAACAGGCAGGGGCTCCTTCAAAATAAGTATATATGTAGATCCCCAGCTTAAAGCGCAAATGGTGTTTTTGTTCAGTGAAGTGTTAAAATGGCTATATGACATTTAAAGATTTTGCAGTATCTCACATGCATTTATTTAAAAAGTGAGCCTCACCAACATAAATGCAGCTACGAGATGCAGCTATTCAAAGGCTACGTAATTATTAACTGACTAGTGAGAATGTAAGCAAACACTAGCACTGACTTGAGAATACTCAGCATGACCAATGCTTCCTTCAGAGACATTATACATGTAACACAATCCAGTGGGATGCTTTGACATATCAATGGCAATGCAGAAGCACTCCCATACTATAAGAATAAATAGGTAAAGGTAAAGGGACCCCTGACCATTAGGTCCAGTTGTGACCGACTCTGGGGTTGCAGCACTCATCTCGCTTTAGTGGCCGAGGGAGCCGACGTTTGTCCGCAGACAGCTTCCGGGTCATGTGGCCAGCATGATTAAGCCGCTTCTGGCGAACCATAGCAGCACACGGAAACGCTGTTTACCTTCCCGCTAGAGTGGTACCTATTTATCTACTTGCACTTTGTGCTTTTGAACTGCTAGGTTGGCAGGAGCAGGGACCGAACAATGGGAGCTCACCCGGTTGCGGGGATTCGAACTGCTGACCTTCTGATCGGCAAGTCCTAGGCTCTGTGGTTTAACCCACAGCGCCATTGGTGCCCCAAACATATTTATTTAAGAATAAATAGGTCCCCTTTAAAAACACAGTAGCCACCTACGACTCTACATCCATAGCCAAATTAATGTGAAATGGGACTCTTATTTTTATATAGACCAAGTTAGAACAAAAATTCTTCTTTATAAATTCAGAGAACATCCTGAAAAAGTCAGCAGCAGATATAACTTATTTATTCCCACCCCCCCAAAAAAATACCTTCGTGGGGTGCAATCCTCATGAGGTGGGATAATGACAACCTTCACAGTAACTGAAGTCCGCAGGAGATCAATCATTTGCTCATGGCTCAGAGTAGCTACAGCCACAGTGCAAATTTCCACTAATCTGCTGCCTTGTCGTAATCCTGCTTGCCAAGCATAGCCATAAGGTTCAACATCTGCCACAATTCCTTCATAGTTCACATGGAAACCAAGCTGGCCTAGTCCATTGCGACGTAAAGTCATTTCCACTGACTCACAGCCCTTTGTCACAAGCTGATAAGTGAAAAGAGAGGGGTTGGGGGGGGAGGGTGCAATGGGAAGAGTTTAGTGCAATTAATTACATTCAATGGGAGACAAATACATGGGGGAGTTTAAAAAAATAAAATGGTACATGAAGCAAGATGGGACAATGATATTCCTTATTTTGACAGCTACTGCTGTGCACAGTTTTCAGTGCAAGTTGGCTAGGTTACTACTGGATGAAAATCCAGGCACAGTCAGATTTTGTATAAATGACTGGCTTTAGAACTTTATGAAAATTATAGAAGCATTACGGTAATGTAGCAACACAACTGGAAAATTCATGGGTGGGGTTATATACCAGTATTCACGGTTAGGCTGACAGAATGTTCCTTTATATTATTATGTCCCTATTGATTCGATAAATTGGTAGTTCTTTGTAATTTAGTCATCTTATTTACTGGCATGCAGCTATCTACACAAAATGCAAACTTGTTCTATTGGCTGAGTGATCCTGCTAATTATGAATATTTTTGAATGCAATAGACAAATGCAGCTTTTCTTCATAATGTAGAGACTGCTATTTTCTGAATAAGAGAATAAAATGCAGTTGCTACTAGAATAGGTAGAAACTATAATATTAAGTCTTGAATAATATTTGATACATGTCAGGGACTGTGCTATGTGTCAGTGCTCCCATGGCAATACACTACCCAAAGGTCTCACTTAATGACTGAACAAGCAATGGGCAATAAGTAAGAAGGTATTCTTCGTCCTAGTCCGCTTTCAACTTTGGAGAACTGGGAGAAGAATTAGAAAATAATTTCCATTAATATTTTTGCACAATTACATCACAGGTTGAGGGACTGTTTCACTATCAACGGATCTGCTACCAAAATCTAAGAATGGATCCAAACCATGTTAATGTTTCCATGACTGTTCTTTGAATTTACTCATGCCTGAAGACCAGAGCTACATATTTAGAGAGGGAGAGAGAGAGAACAAACTCTAACCTCTAGCCTTTTGACAATCTCTTTGATATCTTCAGGGTTTTTGAAACTCTCCACAGAAACACATTCACCCCTTTCATAGAAAATTTTGACACTTGTGTCTGTTGAAGTCCACCCTATGACATCTCTGCAGGAGCAATTGAACACAACACTCTTTGTATCTTGTTCAATGATAACAACAAATTCATTAGAAATCCCCAGGAGACAGTCTATATCTACACCCTTGCTATAGTCTTTAGCACGGAGACTCCATACAACAGCACCAGAACTGTGGAGTTCTACTCCTGGATGAGGCTTGGACTTCTCCTTCTTCTTAGAGGCAAGTGAGATGAAGGGGAATTTGCCCGAAGGGTCAATGGGTGTGTTTGTGACATTCTTCTCTGCCAAATCTTTCAAGTATTCCTGACGGGTTCTGGTGGCCATGGCACGGAACTTCTCTGATTTATGAGCTGCATTCTCAGCATTGATCACTTTAGCAAGTAAGAAGTCCCTGAATACATTGGATTTGGGGAAGGTAATGCCTTTAGGGATTGGTGGTCCAAACGATGGCACATCTCTGGATCTCGTAGCAGCAACGCTACATAAAGGAAAAGGAAATGTGAGTTAATGATGAGCTGAATCCACAGAACTCATCTTTCTACTCTGCCTTTGACTTCTTTGCTTTGATCTTTAGAAAATTTATGATCTACGACAGGGTAGCATGGCCTAGCAGTACAAACAAGAACAGAAAACAGTCACAGCCTCTTCTCTCCCAAATCAAAGACCTTGACCCCTATGAAATTGCTGGTTGGGGATTTATGAAACAGCATTCTAGTGTTCCCTACTTCACATGGGAACCAATGCTTTAACAAACAAGCAACAGTACTACTTTACAGCAGAGCAGCTGTGTTAGCCTTCTGCAGCAAGAACAACAACCAAGAGTCTTGTGGCACCTTAAAGACTAAGACATTTACTGCCTGAGACTTCATGGACAACAGTCCTGAAAAGTATTTTTACTGAAATACTATGTCTTACTTCTTAAGAATAGACTTCTCCAGTATTTTATTCCAAAGGGTAGTATGTTAAATTTGACAGAATTCATCTGTTCTTCTTGGATGTTCTCCAGAGGGAGCAATATATTGCTATCTTTCACAACCACATTCTCTGCTCCCTAGGTGTGAATTCCTAAGAAACTCCATGCATATAAACAATGTGAGAAAGCCACCATGAATCTGGCATACACGGTTTCCAGACTGCTTTTCAACTCCCCAGAATTTTATTATTTTATTTTCATACACACTGAATTAACCCAGGCTAGGATTATCACCAGGTTAATATGAAGCCCACTTGGCCATTTTTGAAGCTTGGCCTCAATGCAAGGCAGCTAACTCTGGTTCTAAAGTATCCAATTAACTCGCATGCTCTTTCTTCTGTGGAAAAAACTGGTTCTCAGCCTGCCAAGTACTTAATGTTAAACCCAAAAATAGTTTTCCTGAAAATTAACAGTAAAAAAGCATTGTAAAATACAGCATAAAAAATTCCAAAATGTGGTTAGCCTCTGTGTGTTCACAAAGTAATAGGTACCTGTAACAGACATTGTCGGTACATGGATTGTGCACACGGACAATGACAAAGACATGCTGGAAGTGAGAGCGAATATTCTTTGGGCTGAATGACTCTGCTCCAGGTTCTTGGAAAACGATGGTCACAATATCATTTCCAATATGTCGTTTTCTTAAGAGCTATGAGGGTAAAGACAAGAAACATAAGGTATTGGAGGGGGGAGTACCCCCTTATAGCATATTGTGCATTATTCCTGTTAATTAATGTTTGCGAATCATGGAATATTTTAAATTATTTCATTCAATGCTTTATTCTGAGCAAGTAAATGAGAAATTGGCCAATATATGACATGCTGAAACGACTAGCATCTTGCACCCCCTGTTTCCATAACAACAGCTACACATCATTTTAATACCCAGAAATGTCTTCATAACAGACAGATTTTGAATGTCTCTAGAATCAAATTTATCGTAATATAACACTATGTTTGTCTACTTGCTACTTTCTTCCAACCATTATAAATTGTTCATAACCTAGACAATGTTCTTCTGTGCATTAAAACTGTGTTTTTGTATTTGATAGTGGCAGTGTTACCAAACAAATTATTGTTATGCATTTTTGTCAACTTATTCTTTTTCTCCTGAAAAGAATGCCAGAAAGCTTCCTTTAAATTACAGCATAGCACTAACCATCTGTATGATAGAACTGACCATTTAAAATATAATGAGATTAAAGTATGTTCATGAGCAGGCAGAATCAACTAAACCATGTTATTGTTCCTTGAATTCAATGTTAGCTCCTTGAATTAACAATTGTTTTGTGGTTTGTTTGTTTTTTGTTTAAATCAGATATAAATTCCAGCTATACATAGACTTCCGCAGCTCACTTCAGTTCAAACAATGATTAGCAAAAATTTACAAAATGAAAATGATATCAAAGAGGGCAATGTATGAGGTAAAGTATATTGAGTAATCACTCAAGAAAGAAACTAGATATTGCCTTTAAAGGTAAAGGTACCCCTGACCGTTAGCTCCAGTCGTGGACGACTCTGGGGTTGCATGCTCATCTCACTCTATAGGCCAAGGAAGCTGGCGTTTGTCCGCAGACAGCTTCCGGGTCATGTGGCCAGCATGACTAAGCCGCGTCTGGCAAACCAGAGCAGCGCACAGAAATGTCGTTTGCCTTCCCGCCGGAGCAGTACCTATTTATCTACTTCCACGTTGACGTGCTTTCAAACTGCTAGGTGGGCAGGAGCTGGGACCGAACAACAGATGCTCACCCCGTCATGGGGATTTGAACTGCTGACCTTCCGATCAGCAAGCCCTAGACCACAGCACCACCCGCGTCCCCTGGACATTGCTTTTACAAATGTAGAAAAGTGCCATGGGACACATGGGGTGGATCCAAGTGTGCCCTTCTTCTAGCACATGGGGACGCAACCTGTATGCTGAGGGCCACATGTGAATGGCAAGGAGGGAAGAGTGGCAGCAGCAGCAAAAAGAGAGGATACCCCATGTACTTTTGGTTTTGGCATTGCCCACGCACTGGCTTTGACACTAACTCCCATTGGTATGCAGTCCTTGGCAGAAAAAAGGTTCCCCGCCCTCTTCCACTAGCACACAATTTCTTCCACTCATGAAAGGGCTGCTTCCTACCCCAAACCTAGGTAAATTCTTCTGTTTGCATATGCTCTTGTACAAGACTTATACCACACTATCATAGCGCTACCCCAAGCTGAATGTATCAACTAGGCTGAAGTTTAGCCACTGGCTCTAAGCAGTAAAAACACAAGATTCCCCCAAGGCTGGGGAGACACCCCTTCTGTACCCCAGACTGCCATCTCTCTCTCTGACTCTATCACAGCTCTCATGTGAAAGCAAATGATCTTGAAAAAGCTATGCTGATCAGATTTACTACTTAACTCACATTTCCTAAAGAGAAACAAACTTTAAATCAGCCCCAGATTTGTTCATTCCCAAAATCTTAAGCCATCACTAGCCAACTTGCCTACTGTAACATAACTTCTTGCAGCCACATGGAAGCAAAACCATTTTTTAAACAGCTTAAACATCTTGGAGGATGTTAATGAAACAATGCAAATGGGTGGGGAAAACATTATCACTCAATGAGCAACGTCATTTCAGAGCAATCCAAACCTACTTGGTGCAATTATACTGATTGAGATGCAAGACTGCAGCAAGTAGCAAAGTTTTTTCTTGTTGCTAGGAATTAACACTCGAATACTATAGCTGTAAGTTGTATATAGACTTATGCTATGGTGTCATACCTCATGAAATTTCTTCTGCAATGAACCAAATTCTCCAGTTAGTGTAAACTGTGGCTTGTTTAAACAAGGCAGAATTCAACAGAGGTTTATGACTATGACTCGTTCACAAAGCAGCCTAAAGAAAACCTAGCTCCTCCTAATTCAGATACAATGGTACATTTCTGCTAGTTTAAAACAGGAAACAAATGCCTCTAATCTCTTATTCATGGCTGCACTAGGGAGGATAGGGGAGGGGAAATCATGTCTGTCAAAAGCTTTCTTCCGCTTATTCACACAGTGCTAAATAATGCTTTAGTGTTACATCTGTAATGGACCCACAGAATTCTTTACACAGTGAAAATGAATCCTACCTGTTGCTTGTTGTTAGGTGTGTAGGGCAGCATGGTGGAAACATGGAACATGATTTCATAGTCCTTGTACGTTGTATAAAGAGAGTGGGTGCCAGTAGAATCAGCTAAGATTCAAATAACAAAAAAATCCAACTTACTATTTTAAAATAATTTTACATAAGCTGCAAAACTGCATGATGTTGTAAGCATCAGCTATGGGAACAATCGTGCAATAACGTCAAGAACAACATGAGAAATACAAACAAAATCTGAAAGGGAGGTACTACCTAATAGAGATGGAATAATTTATCACCTTTGGCTGCTTCCACTTTTTCATTTGCCCCCACTCTTAATCTCAGTATGATATATTTCAGCATCAGTTTATGATTTTTTTAAAAAAGGAAGACCACAGAAAAATTCACAGGCATTTTACTGCACATTTCTCCTGAAGTACATGCCTGAATGCCTTTTCCCCAACACACACATTTTACAAGAAATGTTCCCTAATATAATGCATTAAGTATGATATTTACAATCCCCTCTACCCAAAGAATACATATAAGTAATTTAACTCGTTTTAAAGCTCTTTGATATAGGAAAACTATGATTACAATTTAATTTTTTTAATATTTGAACAATAAATTTATATTTTAATACAGGCCCGCACAATTTGTGACCTACCAAGCTACACCAACTACATAAAAGGTAAAGGTAAAGGTACCCCTGACCATTAGGTCCAGTCATGACCGACTCTGTGGTTGCGGCGCTCATCTTGTTCTATGGGCCGAGGGAGCCGGCGTTTGTCCACAGACAGCTTCTGGGTCATGTGGCCAGCATGACTAAGCCGCTTCTGGTGAACCAGAGCAGCGCACAGAAACGCCGTTTACCTTCCCGCCACAGCAGTACATATTTATCTACTTGCACTTTGATGTGCTTTTGAACTGCTAGGTTGGCAGGAGCAGGGACTGAGCAACGGGAGCTCACCCTGTCGCAGGGATTCGAACCACCGACCTTCTGATCAGCAAGTCCTAGCCTCTGTGGTTTAACCCACAGCGCCACCCACGTCCCATTACATACAGTGTGCCAAATGCTTAAAGTTCTGCAATTCTGCAGTCATTGGGGGGGGGGGACCAGGAGGATTATTAAGCCTTTTATGACTGCTGTTAAAGGGTTATCTATGATGGGTCACAAGTTGTACAGGCCTCTTTTAATTGCCTATCTAGGCCTTAGTACTACTCTCAATATGGCTCCCAAGACTACATTTTAAAATCAGAACCAGCATTGGTCTCTGCAGGGGTGATCTCTCATTTAATGAAAGTCTATCTGCATTGTGCCCTCATCCCAATTAGATGTGTTGCTCATCTTGTCCCTTGTTTGCCTGCCTGGTAGAAGGAAAACATCAAAACCAATGCCTAAAATGTGAGAAACAGATGGGGAAGGATGGCAGCATATTTCACACAGCAGCAAGTATTTGGAAAAAGGTTCTGGCTGAACATAAATACAGCCTTCTCATGATGACCAAGCTTCTGAAAGTTTTAAAAGTCCAGAACATTAACAACTTTTAGTTTAACAATTCATTTTACTTCATAAATGATTGTAATCATAGCTCTGGTGTGCAGAGAAACTTTTGAGAACTGATCTAAATGGAGCAGTGAACTAAAACACAGGGGAAAATAAAAATCAAGCAACCGAGTCTTCAAATGGCTCCAGGCCATTTGCCGCTTAAGTAACGAGACCTGAACTAGCAGATCACTACAAGCAAGGCAACAAGTGCTTATCATAAAACACTCGTGTCTTGGGAATCATGTAAGTAACCACAGTCCTCCTCAACCATGAGTGAGGTTATATCTGAAGTCAACATTGTCGACTTAAAGCAAAAGTCTACTGTGTGAAAAACATAGGAGAAACAAACATTAGGCCTATGAAGATTTGGGATGGGGGATGCAATCCCCTTTTGAGATGGATAAATTCTTCAAGCTGAAAGCAGAAAATTGTAAGCACACAGTTGCTCAATATGATCATTTTCTAATGATGCACAAAGTAGGCATAAATTTTTCGTCTGAAACGTTTCCTTAAGGAATTCATATACTTGAATATTTCAACTCTGGTCGTTTTTCAGGTCTAGGATTTAACATTAGATTGTTAAATACCTGAAAATAAAAAGGAAGCGTGGTAAATAATCATTGTCAGCTCCTTGGGGAAGGGACCTGCTTTTTGTTTGTTCTGCTTGTTACTCTAAAGCACCAAGTACATCAGTGAGACACTATGTATTGATTGAAGCTCAGGTGCTTTGCACGCAGAAACTCCCAGATTCACTCCTTGTTATACCCAGTTAAGAATCACAGGTAGCAGGGGGCTGGGAAAGATCTCAACATGATTTACTCTTGAAGATTTTTTGTTTGTTTGTTTAAGGGGAGAGGGCAGGAGCATTAAAAAATATAAATAAATCAAAAGTAGCATGCATCACATCAGTTGCTTTTGAAAATTAGGTTGCATTCCTACCTACACTTACTTAAGACATGAACATGACTGATCTCAATGGGACTTCCTTCAGAGCAAAAGAGCATATGGTTGTTTCATCAGTTTGAAAAGCAGAATATAAATAATCTAAATAATAAACACATTTTGTAGCTGTTCTAAGCAATATGTAGCATCTATCAAATCATGTTATAGACCTGCTGCTTGTAAATAGCTATTCAATTTTGGGTCAACTCATGCAAAAACTAAGGGACTCAGGGCTCATTAAACAGAAAAGGTCTATGCTGATAACAAATTTAAGCAAAGTGAGCAGAACGTCAACAACATTGGCTGCATTTTAGCACAGTTCAACTTTAAAGAAAAGACCAGGGTAGGTGGGTATGCAGTGCTTCAACACTTGCTAGAAGAACCAGCATTATTTTCCCCTCTTCTCCTTTAAATATTTTCCTGCATAAGACCCCTCACATTACAGGTAAATTACATGGCAATGACTAGGTAGAAATAGGGGAAGGTCATTTAAATTCAAAAGAAATAAAGTAATTTCAGATTTGTACTACAGATTTTGACATTTATTGGCGTTTCTAAATATATCTAACTGGCTTTAAAATATTCTAGGTTATTTCATGTTTTAATCGTTTCCTTCTCTGCTGCCTATAGTCAAAACATCAGTAACAGCAGAAACCATGGCAACAGAAAATTCACTGCACTGTTTGCGAACGCTTTTCTACTTTCATGACGCATTCTTTACTTTAATTTCCTATACCGCAAGTGAGATAACCATGGACCTCAATACGCACGGTTCAATCTAAATACCACATAATGAAAGCTCACAGCTATAGGTGTGTGTATTTCACGGGGAGGACTACACACTGAAGAGGTGTTTACAGGAGTAATTTTGCTGATTTCTCCCCTTCCCTTAAAAAACATGCATTTTGTTTCAAGATCTTGGCAAAAAGTCACCTCTTTACTTCATTTTAGCCATGAATTTTATAAACCAAGCCAGGAACTATGTTTTAATGCACTCAATTGAGGGGAAACTATGTAGAGATTAAGAAGAAAGAAGGTAATTTATGCTGAAAGCTCTTTGGGGCAGGAACTTGTCTTTTGATTAGGTTATTTTGTGAAATGCCATGTACACTGATGGAAACAAACAAGCAAAATTAAATTTCAGGACTAATAAGGGAAGATGCCATAAAGATAGACTATCAACATGAGGGACTGTATAAATCAACCAAATTCTCAGAACAAGTACTTCTGTAACAAAGATGAGCTGCAGCTGCAGTGTTGTCATGAGGAGGTTTCTGAGAAGTTCACACTGAAAAGATAAGAGAGAGTGGCGGCTTGCCACTCTCCACTTCCTCAATAGGTCCACTGTCAAAATCTATTTGCTGACCATGGCTGTAACTATGTCTTATTAATTTGCATAAGAGAGGGTCCCTTACTCTTTGTGTCTAGTTGAGCACGGTACTTTTCAAATCCCTTGAGCCGAACCCGTTCTCCCAGTAACTGAAGAAACTCTTCAAAGGCCGGGCCTGCTGATTCATTGTTGTACATTTCCTCTTCTGTGCTTTGTCCAGACTTGCAGTACATGATCCCCACTTTAAGTTGATAGCTTAGCTGTAAACACAAACAGAAACTCAAGTTTTGCATTCTCATCAGCTTATGTAGCATCTATGCTGCATTAAAAGACTAACATAGAGAGTCCTTCCAAAAGTCACCACTACCTTCTTCCTCTTCCCCTTTAACAATGAGAAAACTATGACTAATAAATGTAGGCACATTAAATCTGCATATTTCAAATCGCTCTGCAAAGGACATCGGTTGCTATTTGCATTTCCAATTCAAGATTTCCCCCAAAGGATGCAAAACAGAAAGAGAAAGAAAGAAAAATATAGTTTCTAAACTGTAGACTTCAGCTTTGTAGAAACAAACTTAAAAACTTTAGCGTAATGTTTCTATGCCATCAAGTTTTGACTTGAATGCAACACTTATTATCTTTGTATTGGGAGATGAATTGAATTTAAATGCGTAGTTTAGTCTATGAAAATAATCAAGTCAATGGAATACTGAGAACATAAGTGTGGCCCGGATCAACTTTAAGTCCCATCTACTTCAGAATTCTGTTCTTACATGGCCAACCAAATGCTTATGGGAAGCCTGCAAGCAGGACACGAAATCTCTCCATTTGTGATTTACAGCAACTAATATTGAGACGTATATTGCCTCTGACAGTAGAGGTAGAACACATCAGTGGCTATTAGACACAGTGGCTAGCCACATCCTTCATGAATCTGTCTAAATCTCTTTTAAAATCATCCAAGTTGGGGGCAATCTCATGGGAGCAAATTCTGTAGATTTCAATATGCACCGAGTGAAGAAGTTTTTAAGTGGGTTTTAGTGTTCTATTGTGGATTATATATTAATTTGGTTGTTACGTTATCTTATGTTGTACTCCACCCTGGTATCAGTATTGATGAAGGGCAGGCTATAAATATTTCCAATCAATAATAAAATAAATAAACTACTGATAGCTGCTGAGAGGTTCTGGAGACTAAACAGTGTCTCACTGCCCCATCCATCTCCTAGCATATGCCATTCAAGAGAGTAATGAAGCCACTTTCATTTCCGAACGAGGCCAGAAAACCAAGTTGGAACAGATCCAAACAATGAATTGAAAACTTTGGTTTTGGACACCACCAACTAAACAGCATCATTAGATACAAGCTAGTGTATTTCTGTTAAGTTAATTACTTAATTTCTGTTAAGTTATGAAATTCTAAATATAAAAAAGCAGTATCAAGAGTCTTCAGATATTAAAAAGTAAGGTCTAATACCATAAGAGGTTTAAGTTGTTAGTTTGAATGTATGATGATAGTGCCTAATATGTCATGGATGACATAAGCAGGAGAAATAAGGCATAATTCTTGTATCAATGTCTTACACGCTGTCTTCCATTATACCATGCAGAAAGAAATTAAACATGCTAGGTTATAATATTCTGCTTTAAACAGTACACATTTCAGAATTTTTGAGTTTGCCTAATTCACTTTTTTTGGCAGCAAACTCTAAGGCCTGAGATCTCAGGCAAACCCTTTATTCTGTAGCATTGGATAGACTTGGTAGATTTCTTTAGAGTTTCCAGACATGGTGGGAAAAAAGATATCTAGATCTGTTACCGCAATGCTGGCCTAGTAAAGGATTAAAGTTTGCTATTTTGAACTTACCCCTTGTTCATCAAGTTTCATAAGTTGTTCTGTGACTTTAGGAGTGTTGAAGGCCAACCTGAGACAATGTATATTCAGTTCAGGAACTACGTGCTCAAGCACCTCTTTCAAGGGCAGCCCTCTAGCTGTACAGTGCTTTGCAGTTGAAGGTATAGCATCTTCCAAGACAGAACCTCTTAGGGTTGTAAGCTGTGAAACAAAAGTTATTTACTTAGATATATGAAGGGAAGGTGAGGGTAGGCTAGCAACCCAAAGAACTAAGGATTCCTGGGTGCTGTGCTTCAAATCTTATACTAAGTTGTGCATGTCTGAATCATTGTTTTGTTTAGTACCAGTATCTGAAGAACTTACACAAGTTCAATTTGCATGATTCCTTAAATGGAAAAGCAGGCATTGTGCTCCTAGAAGATGCAGGGATTTTCCTCTTGATATGTTATCCAGAAATACAGAAAACAGATGGACAAGCTACTCATGCATTCACTTTTTGCTTCTTCTCAGGAATGTGCAAAATGGTTTTGTTTCATTAAGTCAAGCACCTCTGTGCTACTGTTAACGCAGAAGTAAAACAAGAACAATGCTCCCCGTCTGCCCAAACTCAACATTTGGACTAGTTAATTTATTGTTATTAGTACTATTATTATAACATATTTATTTATACCCTGTCTTTCCCCCGACAGGGAATCAAGGCAGTTTCTGTCTATATGATAGAAACCCCACTGTACATATTTCTTTTTACCTGGGTTTCTATGTTAAAGGCTGTCCATAAACTAGCATGTTCTCTTGATTTACACCTAATTGATTTTTTTAAAACAGGGAGGTTTCTTTGTAAAATTAAAGCAGGAAAATGTAAAAATTAATCTAAGTACCAGGAACAGAAGATGTACATATGATTTAAGCAGACATAGGCTGTGTTCAACAAGCCATGTGTCATCTCACAGAACAAATAAGCAACAAATCGTTTCTCCAAAGCTTGGTTCACAACATTTACACGCCACTTGAGTAACAAAACCTCAAAGCGGTTTACAAAAAGTTAGTGTTTTGGCTTATTCTTTAAATATGCCACGTGTTTGCTAAACAAACTGTGGCTTAGGTATGTGTGAACCAGGCCTGGTTATTAGTGAGTGGTAACTTTTCATCAGCCCCAGTCTGCATGGTCAATAGTCAAGGGTGTTGGGATTTGTAGTCAAGAACATCTGGAGATCAAGTTGCCTTCTGATATAAACTATTATATACTCAAGAGCAGTTTACAACATTGCACAAAATGGCAATTAAAAATAGATACCCAGATCTAAAACAACCCAGTGTAGAATCATAGAGGTGGGAGGATTTCTGAGAGTCATCCAATCCTATCCCAGCAACGCACAAATCACAGCTAAAGAATCCCTGACAGATGGCCATCTAATCTCTACTTCAAAACCTCCAATGAAGGTGACTCCACCTTCTGAGGTAGTCCATTCCACTTTTGAGTAGCTCTTTCTGTCATCTTTATATATTTTCTGATTTAAAGGATCAGTACATTTTAGACCACAGGCAAAACATGAAAATAACCCTTATACAACTCACATTTGCAGTCAATCTTAAGAGTATAGAGAAAATACATTTTTGCATTTCTTATTCTTATACTTTCCATATATTGTTTACCTCACTAGTTCTGAAAATGATGCGGTAATTGTATTGCGATCCATTTTCTTTTATTTCTTCAGGTTTTTCTCTTCTGATGCTGACAGCTACAGGACCAAGGTTCTCATCTGCCCCAAAGTAGTTCCAGTGTTCTTGTGCATTTAAAAAAAGGGGTGCGGGAGGAGAAAAAATTATTTTCCATCTCAGAAAAAAAGGGTTCTGTATGTTACATTTTGCATAGTAAGTAAAGGATTAAGGACAGTTTTGTTCTACATGTGAGCAAGTTCCAACCATCCATGGGCACATGCTCACATGGGCAAATGTAGCATGCACATACAGCTGGGAAACAATTCTAAAGATTTTGGTGATACTCATTCTAACCGCTGTGATAACAGAAACTGCTACCAGTTGTAGCTATGAACATCTGGTTCACATGCTCAGTGTAATATTTGAATGTTGTAAAGCACAAAACCTTCTTCCAGGTATAGCAAACATTTTCCCAACCTACAGGCTGAGGTCCGTGTTCTATATTAAAGGCACACCAGAATTATGTTAATTATACCCCCCTTTCTAGAACAGTAAGAAGAATTGTGTCAACTGGGGATTTGGAAAAACCTTTTAGTACAATGAAATACATTATAATAGAGAAACCTCCATTTGACCATTTTAATACATGTTTTACAATGCTGTGGGTGCCAGAACATTCTCACAGTCCCTGTTAAACAAGTTTTAATTACATTTCCATTTCCAAAATATTTTTAAAACCTCCGCATCTTTCTGTAGATTGTGCCTTTCGATTTGGTCTCGTTCCATGTACATGTTAGAAGACTGCCTAAACTATAAAGTCTAAAAAAATCCCTGTCATATTATTAAAAAGCAAATTGCAAAATTTAAGTGTTTGTATGAATTATGCCTAGAATGATCAAGGAACATTCTGTGCAGCAGGCAGTACTTGGAGAACATTTTGTAAAATAGCAAAGAATAATGCCATTCAAGGTATTAAATGATTGCTCACCTTTCTGATAGAAGAATTTACGATAATAATATGCACCAAGATCCACGTGTTCAACGATGTATCTCTTCCCTCTATCCAAGTGCAACACCAGGTTTTCCTTGGGTACTTCAAGAACAGCCACTCCTGCATTTGTGCAATGAGAGCTAAGAGTGGACTCAAAAGAGGCACTTTCACAGCCACTGAAGGATCCAGAGTTAGATTTTGTGAGACTGATCTTTCTTTCTCCTTCCCCACCAATCTCATTACGAAAATAAGGACAACTCATAACAAGGTCATTGCTTTTATCGTCTCCCTGGTCCATATTGAGACTTCCTTTGGAATTCAGGTCTTCTGTACTGCCCATTGGGGAATTGAAACTTGCAGAATGGGACAATGGTCCAGAAGCTAATGATGCAACTGCTGCAGCAGAAGCTCCAGTCGTTGTATTCCTTCGTTTGATCACATTGTGCCGGTTAACTGCCACTTCATTTAAATCAAATAATATGCTCTGGCAATCGTAATGGGCAAAACACTTTGGACAAGTCCAAGGCCTGACACTGTCTTCTGATCTGCTGTCCTCAAGATCTGAGGACTTCCCAAGATCCCCTTCAGCTTTGGCATTACGCAGCTTTCGAAAAATGGAAGAATCTCCTGTCTCTGATTTTGAACGCCTCTTCAGTGGCTTCTCCCTTTCTTTAAATAGTCGAAGGTTCTCCCTCTGAGTTATGGGTCCATCTATCACATCCAAGGAAAACCCTGAGCCCTTACTTCCACTAGCTATAAGGAGTTCACAGAATTTGCTGGTGCCTGGACCTCTCTGGTCAGATTTTTCATCTTTAAAACTTTTCAACAGGTCAAAAAAACCTTCCCCTGAAGTACCCTGCTTATCTATTGATGAAGTGCTGCCATATTCCCTGTGCAGTGATGGTCCAGATTTATAACTGGGCGAGATACATTCATCATAGCTATCTACATCAAGCTCACTTAGGGTAATGTCACTATTACTTCGCTGTCTTATTCTGCGAAGAGCTTTTCTTGGGGAGCTGTGGTATCCATCAGGAGTGAGAAACCTAGAATCTAGGTTCTCAGACTGCCTTGTTTTGCTCTTAAGTGTGTTTTGGATACTCTTTAACATGACAGAGTCACTAGAATTCAAGTTAATAGAGCTCCCCTGGCTCCCAGGACTGCTTTTTGAAGACATACTATCAAGGCAGCTTGATGTATCCATTTCTTGACTTGATCTACTATTTTCTTTGACATTTTCCTTCCTTGGGGGCCAGTCAGCAATCCTGGCCCTAACCCCCATTTTAGGTACTCCAGGAGTAGATGTAAGGTGATGAGACCCTTCATTGCGTGGAGGGCCTACTGGAGCCATCACTGAAGATCCCAAGCTACCATTCTGTGACCTGAAGCGTCTCATATAAAAGTCATCTGAGTGGACTTTAGGAGTTCCATCTGACACTCCGGTGGCAACAGCCCTTTCAGTCTGGGACCGCTTCAAACTGGTCATTATTGGAAAACGTGTTTATCCTTAGTAAGCTCCAAAAGAAAACACAGCCATCTCTGCCTTTCACATTTATAACTCTCTTCCGGAGAAGGTTATCCAGAAAACACAAAGGTTGCATGAGATCCCAGTTATGATCATGTAATATAATGGCAAATGTTCTACAGATGCAGCTTTTCTACGAACGACCGTTGTTCAATCACTTTTGACTTCTTAGAAGTCTTAATCCATCCATTTCAAAAAGTAGTCATCCTTCCATATGTCAAAAAATAGTAATCTTCGTTTGAAGAATGAACTTTCAACTGGTAAACTTGCTTTAATCCTAGAGCAAATAAAGAAGAGAAAGTGATTAGCCAGCACATTCAGTTATATACAGCAGAAAAGTGAAAGCTTCAATACAGTAGTTGCTTTCTCAGTACATTTCACCACAAAGGTCAGCAATTGATACCTAACATACTGTATTTTACAGCTTTGAATGCAGAATGATGTAAGTTACTTTTCAATATATACAACAGACTTCTCTCTAGATCAACAAGCTATAGGAAAGCTATTACCATCTATACATATGTAGAAAGAACAGATGTGCTTCTCAATTAGGAGATACTGAGTTGGATCCAAACTGCTGTTCTGCCAGTGGAAAGCACTTTTGGTTCTGTACTGTGGGACTCTCCACCCCCTATTTTTGGCAATTGCTCCTTCTCCCTTCTCATGTCACTCTGTTCCAGAGAGTCCTCCAACCCTCAATAGAAGAATTGGGGGGGGGGGCACAGGAGACTGCAGAGGAAAGGAGGAAGCATGAAAGCTCCATTTTGTAAACATTTATGGAATGGGACTTACTTAGGATTCAAGCCATTCTTAGCAGATTGCCTATTGATTACATGTATGCTTTAGGAAGACCAGGTGTAAATTTTGAGTTTTTGCATGGAGTAGATTTGGAGATGACTGCTGAACCAGGCTGCTACTGCTGGTTACTATCCCAAGGACAGACCTGAGAAGCAATTCCTTTTCATCTATTTATTAGTTACTATCATTATCATGGCTATTATTATTATTAACTGCTTGGTTTTCTACTCAAAATTCAGAAGACACCTTAAAAAAGACGTATCTTGAAGCTCAGCAGTAGCAGCAAAGTGAAATGAAAGTCAGTTACAATATTTCAGGAAAAAGCTCTTCATAAATTGCATGAAAGCAGTTTTTGAAATGTAAATGACCACCCAAGACTGGGATCAAAATGTGTGAGGGCTTAACCCTCCTCTGATCACAGCCCCAAAGAAAATGTCCCTCCTCCCCAAACAAAAGAAAAGCTAAAAATACCTTGAGTGATATATATATTTTTTTGGGGGGGGTAACAGTGGATAGGAAGAGTTGAAGAGTTAATCCCCCCCCCATGTGCATGGACCTGATCCTGTTCACTTGGCTCACCTTGTGGCAGCTATCTACATTTCAAAAACTGCACATCAATTATTTTCACACAATTAATGTAGCAAAGCTGATGTGACTACCGAGAAGATGTTGCTGCAAATCACCAATCTCACTTCCAAAACTAGGACCAACTCTGGGTTTTGTGAAGCCCTTGGCACGATGATTTGGGTGGGCTCTCCTCTCCAGTGACACCTGTCTTTGGTGCCTGTGGCATTGGGTCATTTGCCTCCCTGCTGGCTGTTCTTTCACTCACCAAGAGGGTGAAGAAATGAATAGGTAGTGGAGAGAGGCAGCAGCAGTTTGTGAGGGCTCTTTGTGAGTGGCTCCTCCTGATGTGCTGGGGTTGCAACTACCATTAAAAGATTCCGACCCCTGGCTGAAAATGAGACAACACAAGGCAGATATTCCTCTGCCAAGCTCAGAGAATAAGAAAAAGGAAGGGCCAAGTCATTTCCCACTCTCCTGACCAGTGTCCCTATGTGGAGCTGACTAATCAGGAGGTGGGATACCCTGGGGGAATAGTGTGCTGGGTAAGATGCCCCCCCCCCAGCAGGCTAGGTGCCCTGCCCTGGCAGTGCCAATCTCGTTAGAGATGGCTTAGATCACCCCTTTCCCCCAGATCATCAAAAAGAGATCCCTACTTGAAAGCAGGAGCCACAATTACTAGGTCCATAAAATTCTGAAAGAAACCAGAGGAGGGGAATAAAAGAAGGGTGAACACTGAGTAAGTTCCTGGAGTTTGCTTCTGAGCAAATTTCAAAGGTGGCCAATGAAGAGTAAAGCCCAAGTCAACCTTCTGGACAATGACTAGGAAGTCATACCAGAGCATTTCTCCTTGTAAACCTTGGCATAGGTTAGTGTTCAGAGATGACTCAAGACATTTTGCTGACGGCAGAATATCCAAATGTCACCTTCATTGTGCCAAATATATAATAATAATCTGATAGTTAACAGTAGACTTCCAAATCAGGCTTGCTCAGCCTATTACAAAGCTGGTCTTACTAGCTTCATGTTCCCAAACTTATTTTCCTCTCTCATCCCTTCTACCCACCATCCCAAATCTTCTTCTCATCCCCAAATTGGAACTCTGTTTGCATAAGCAAGCTCTTACTGCTAATGGCTGGCAGTGCAAGAATTGTCACAGAGAAGTTTTAAGCTGGAGCCATAGAGCAGACCCCTGATAACTGCCAGGCTGGATACAGCCTGCCAACCATTTATTGCTGCTCCCCTGTTTCTGCTATTCTAAGCAAACAAAAGTAGTTTTCTAAGACCTTAGTAGCCCACAATACATGGTTAGTGGGCTGTATCTGGCGTGATGGTTCACAAATTATCCAAGTCATCAATGTGCTTAACACATTTGCTTAGCACCAGTGGGACTCCAAACAGCCATGTGGTACTCTGGTGTGAGAAAAAGTATTGCTCAGAACAATTTATCGCAGCATTTCCCCCACGAGCGGCTATAAAAATACAAATGGAGTTTTGCATGTGCAACTGAGTTTTCAACTTCCTTTCTAGCACAGCCCCTTGAACCTTCTGAAAAATGGCTTCTGAAGGTCAAGGAACCTTCTGGAACAGCATGGGATGCAGTTCTGGGACCATAGTAAAGGTAAAGGTACCCCTGCCCGTCAGGGCCAGTTGTGACCGACTCTAGGGTTGCGCGCTCATCTCGCTCAAGAGGCCGGGGACCATAACTGGGGTGAAAAATCAGAGGTTCCACAGAAGTGTTTTCTGGCCCAAAGCCCTCGATTATGAAAGCTGCCCAAACAACACGCAAAAAGCAAATGAAAACATTTTGAAGCACTTCCGCAATATTTTTACCTAAAGGTTCACAAAACAGAAAATACAAATACTCAAACCCTCCCTGCCCCAAACTAGTGATTCAATACACGAATGAATTTTTTCTACACTCATCTTGCATATTAAAATACAAATGTTTTGTCTTTTGTTAAAATAAAGCACCTTTTAAATTCTAATTTTATAAGGTTACTGAAACAAAAGGCACTTCCTACATTGACTCTGGAATGATTACAAAGTGGTAGTTTGTCTTTTAAAGCATCTTTAACAGGAACAACAACAAAAGCCACCTCCACAAATGCACCCTGGCAGGGAGTAGACAAAGGCAAGAGAATGTCAGCATAAAATCCTGCACTGCTGTATACACCCTTTAACACAAAGAAGAGAATCCTATTCAGAGACTCAACCAATTACACAAAATGTGGCCTTCAAATACTTGCCAAGTCTATGCATGCAAGGATGCTGCTGAACCAGCACCACGTTGACAGAGAAGCATTGTGTACAAATCAAGGCTTCTGACAGTTCTAGGGGAACCAGCACTTTCTGCAGCCTCTTCTCAAAAGTAACAAGTGCTTGCTACCACAGTAATTAAACCTCTAGCCAGAACATAGCCTGCCTCCAACAACTAGCAAATTTAAAAGCATTTCATGGAATGCAGTATCTGGAAGAGGGCATGGCTGTCAAAAAGGAACAGTCAACGGAAGCACCCTAGGCTGCAACGTTTTGTTGCAGGCCTCCCTTATTCATGTTTAAAACTGCGATAAAATGCGCCACAGGTTTGCTGCAATATTCACACGCTTGCCTTGCAATTTTCTATTATCCATTATTAAAAGAATAATAGAGCTTATATGTCTAAGTTAACAATCACCATGCTTTATCTGCTAAGGCAACACAATGGCTAGACTGTTAATTAAACAAGCCATTCCAAACAATCCATGTTTAAGACGTCTTTCATAAACCAATTGCTATTTTAAAATCTATAATTAAGGTTTTAAAAACACACAGGGTGAGAAGCAATGCAGTGCAAATGGGAGTTTGCTTGTGCAATGGGGCTTCTCCTTCCTTTCGTCCCCCTTTATGCCTTCTGAACATCCCCCAAAACTGCCCTGGAGTGTCTATGGACACCCTAGAGCACAGGTGGGCAACCTAAGGCCCATGGGCCACAAGCGTTTAACCAGCCCATGGACCCCCACCGCCCGCTTGGTTGGCTCTTGTGTGTCGCGTTAAACCGGCGTGGAGCAGAGCGGGGACCGCCTTCTGCAATGCTGGTCGGCTTCCCATTGGCTGCAGGAAGCTCCTGCAGCCAATGGGAAGCTGCACACACCTCCTTTGTGCAGGAAAAAGAGCCAGAAATAGCATTTACGCACACAAACACTCTGGCCCACCGCTGCATCTGCAGGACCGTAGACCGGCCCAAGCCACAAAAACTTTGCCGACCCCTGCTCTAGAGCATATTTTGGTGGCACAAAGGGGATGAAGGGGGGCCGAGAGAAACCAGAAGTCCCACTGTGCAGACAGATTTTTGTTCCACAAGGAGACTGACATCTCACAATCAGTAAAGGCCACATTAAGTGTCTTCATAATCATCTAACCTTTTAAAAAGAACATTCCTTTCATAGATTTAAATATCTGAATTACTACAGTTGGCAATAATTATGATGTGAGGCTATACTCATCAAAGGGAAGTGGGTGGCACTGTGGGTTAAACCACAGAGCCTAGGGCTTGCCGATCAGAAGGTCGGCGATTCGAATCCCCGCAACAGGGTGAGCTCCTGTTGCTCGGTCCCTGCTCCTGCCAACCTAGCAGTTCGAAAGCATGTCAAAGTGCAAGTAGATAAATAGGTACCACTCCGGCGGGAAGGTAAACGCCGTTTCCGTGTGCTGCTCTGGTTCACCAGAAGCGGCTTAGTCATGCTGGCCACATGACCCAGAAGCTGTACGCCAGCTCCCTCGGCTAGTAAAGCGAGATGAGCACCGCAACCCCAGAGTCGTCCGCGACTGGACCTAATGGTCAGGGGTCCCTTTACCCTTATATTCATCAAGGGAAGGGGGAGAATCACAACTTCTTCAGAAAAGTTTTTATTTTGAATTGCGTATTTAAATAGC